AGTTGTTACCGAAACCGAGCCGAACCCGAGCTTCTATTTCTAGTCCTTACCGTTAACCCGACTCGACCATGACCCACTGGAGTCAGAGGCGTAGCGAGGGGGGTAAGGGGGACAGATGTCCCCGGGCGCAAGCTAGTTAGGGGCACCAAAATGTGCTTTGATATTATATTATTGGTAAAAATAATGGGTTTGAGAGTTGAAAAAAAGAAAAGGGGGCGCTTTAAAATGGATGTTGTCCCCGGGCGCGAATCTTGTCCCCGGATGTCAAACACCCTCGCTACGCCTCTGACTGGAGTACAGTTCTAGTAGTTCGTGACTCGCCTGGCTGCCGTACAAGTGGTTGGGTAATAACTGGATAAATTGACTCCGAATGCAGGCTACTCAAAAATCACTAGGTTTGGCGATTACTTTTTCATACAGTAAGCCAACAGGGAAAATGCGGTTTAGGTTATCTAATGTGTCAAATTTCAGTGTCGGTGTTCAATAAATTCAATTTGGGTTGATACTATTATAGAAAACTCAACATAAAGATAAATATGATTTTCAGTCGGACAAGTGAGGAAAGATAAAAATATATTTTAAAAAAAAAATTTGAATTGTCCAGGGAACGACAACAGGAGAAGCAATCTGTGAAAAGGTACTTCAAACAGTGAAAACATTGAGATTCACTTGGCTAAACTCGTCAGAATTAAAACTGATTGCACCCCTAGCATGGTTGGGGGCGGTCTGTGAAAGGAGTGGTTGGACGCATTAACCAAGTGCTGGACAAATACAACCATTCGCCATACATCGCCTCATCCAATACCCACAACTTCCTCATCCAATAGCCATACATCACCTCATCCAATACCCATAACGTCCTCATCCAATAGCCATACATCGCCTCATCCAATACCCACAACTTCCTCATCCAATAGCCATACATCGCCTCATCCAATACCCATAACGTCCTCATCCAATAGCCATACATTGCCTCATCCAATACCCATAACGTCCTCATCCAATAGCCATACATCGCCTCATCCAATACCCATAACGTCCTCATCCAATAGCCATACATCGCCTCATCCAATACCCACAACTTCCTCATCCAATAGCCATACATCGCCTCATCCAATACCCATAACGTCCTCATCCAATAGCCATACATCGCCTCATCCAATACCCACAACTTCCTCATCCAATAGCCATACATCGCCTCATCCAATACCCATAACGTCCTCATCCAATAGCCATACATCGCCTCATCCAATACCCATAACTTTCTTAGCCAATAGCCAGACAATGCCTCGTCCAAACTATTATAGTGATACACTCAGGGACGTCATTGCGGGGTTTAGGGGGGGGGGTGCAAAACCAAAACTTGGTCGGCTTGTTTTAAGTTGTTTATTACTGGAGGCGCCACAGTATATAGCAATTTAAATAAACCTGCAAATTCAGGGTGGAACAAATGCCCCACCCTGCACTACCCAAATGTCCTTCCTGCATACACTGCCTCATCCATAGCCATACATTGCCTCATCCACCAACAAGCTCTGTTTTGTAACCGGACTCTGTCATGAAAATGGTGGTATCTTGTATTAACTTCATTAGAGCTCATGTACTACACCACAGACAGTCTCAGGGATTTCTATTTCCCCAAATGAATGTTGCCTATGAAAATATTGTTTTATGTATGAACACAGAAGTTTTTTGGCTGATTCGAGGGAGTGTTTTTGGAATGTTCTTGTAACTTGTTTCACTCACATGTTTCTGATTTTTAGCTTTTGAAAGATCAGAGAAGTAGGAGAGCTAAAAATGAAGAATGGAAATGATACCTTGGCTTTCTGAAGATAAAACAGAACTTAAAAGTTTCAATGTACGATTTCAAGGGAAAGAAACTCTGTTACGTGCATTCATATGTAAAAGCATTTCAAGGAAAATAAGATCTAGCCTCATTAAACAAATGTCATCTCCACACAACTCAAATCCTGAGGGCTGAAAAGCTATCGAATACACACAAAAGCATTATTTAATAAAATTCCATTTTTTAAAAAAATATTACAAACGTTTTATGGACATGGGTGTGGGGCTGCTAGAAATGTTATATATAAATATTAGGGTGTGATCAAGGGAAATGTTATATATAAATATTAGGGTGTGATCAAGGGAAATGTTATATAACGTTATAAGAAGAGGTAGGGGCTTTAAACAGTATTATTATTTGTTTGTTATACAATATGTGCATGGCGCGCCCCCCCCCCTTTCTTTCCACAAATTCTGTGAAAAGACTTTTTCCAGAATAAAACAGGTGAACTCTCCAAACAGATCCAGACTAACTAACGCACACTTGCATTACTTGTTACGAATAGCAGTGATAACTACGGAACCGGACATTGACCATTTCTTTAGCCAAAACCAGATCCACATTTCCCATTGAAATACTAATATGTTTATGATTGTCCTGATTTTTAAATTGTTTTTCATTTTGAATTTTGATTTATTTATTTACTGTTTTGTGCACTTTGCATTTTTTTCAAACTATATTCGTCCCCCAACAATGTCTGAAGGCCTGTGAACTGGTTCCTAATATAAAAAGTTGAGGACATGCTACTACCGTGTACAGTAATCGGTACTAGGCATTTACCCTTTAAATTGTTTACCTTTGACGTGTGGACTGGCTGTTTTCTGTTGTGTGGCTATTTTGACAATTATTTAAGACATTGGGATGAGGACCACTGAGTGGCACTGATTCCCTATAAGGATTGATTGATATGATATTTATATAGCGCTGGTACCCATGCTACTTTAGCATGCTCACTGCTCTCTGGTTTACTTAAATTTATTTTAACAGAAAAGTTTTAAAATGTTTCTTAAATGATTTTTTTTTTATCATTTTCAATTCCCTTCAAATATTGAGGCAAACTGTTCCATAATTTTGGCGCTATCGCTTCAAAAGAGTGCACTCCGTAAGCCTTTTTTCTGTGTTCATCCACACTGGGAATTTTCAATAAGGACTGTGTTGAAGACACCCGGTTCTTTTAAGTATAAAAGTTTATAAATCAGTTCTTTAAGATATTCCGGTGCAGAGCTTTCTATGCAGCTGTACGCCATAGACAGAATTTTGTAATTAATGCGCTCACTCACAGGAACCCAATGGGGGTCTTGGAGAACTGGGCATCCATTAATTACGTTAAAAAATAGGGGGGGGGGAGGGTTGAAAATGTTTGACAGTTGTTGACAAGGGAGAGGAGGTGCTTAGATTAGATGGCGTCAACAATAATATTTTCTCTATTAAAATGTTAATCTTAAAAATTGACTGGTTAATTTTTAGGCTTTTGACAATATAACATTTATTTAATGTGTGCCTGTCTGTGCACTACAGATGGCTGGTCAGAATGTTAGCACAATTTGTTACTGCAAGAGAAGTCACAATTTTAACCCCTACTACACCTGTAGATTCTGTTTGTCCCAAATGACTTAGGCGGTATGTTTGCGATCATATTGCGTGTATGGAACAAGGACAAGGTCCAAGTGTCATATGCAGTCAAGATAAATGATATTGATAGAGTAGGAATCAGGGTTTCTTTCAGCTATATCTCCGCCCCCCCCGGGCAAGCATAGTGCCCCCGGAGCAAAAATATGTCCAACAATAAATCAACTGGAACTGCTGGCACTGCCCCCCCCCCCTTCCCTCGAAAATTCTGAAGTGCCCCTCCCCGAAAATCTGAAGTGCCCCCCCCTCCCCGGGGAAAATTTGTGAAAGAAACACTGGTAAGAATACGATATTTTGAGAAGTAATGGAAAACCCCCCCTTCCCTCGAAAATTCTGAAGTGCCCCTCCCCGAAAATCTGAAGTGCCCCCCCCTCCCCGGGGAAAATTTGTGAAAGAAACACTGGTAAGAATACGATATTTTGAGAAGTAATGGAAAGTAATGTGAGTAACAATAATAACATCGCTGCTTGAACGGATTTGCAAGATCTGTTACATCTATTTGTCATCACAAGTCATGTTAAAAGAGCATGTTCAACAGCACCGACAATGCCCCTTGAGCATAAGAAATTAACACCTGCTCCTAACCAAAAAAAAAAAAAAAAAAAAAAAAAAAAAAAAAAAAAAAAACCCCCCCCAAAAAAAAAAAAAAAAAAAAAAAAAAAAGAAAAAAGAAAAAGGATTCGGCCAATGCTAGCTGCAAGAAGATATAGAGAGCTTATGGCAATTATGGCTCACACTGACAATGCTTCTATATTAGTATTATTGTTATTACTATTATTACAATTGGTCTTATATTGCGTGGTACCTCAGCCTAGGACTAAGGCTGGGCTCACCACGCTGCACATAAAATTAAGCAAGCATAAACATGACATTAAAAAAACAGTGTACATTTATTAATTAAAAAACAGCTAGATGTATAAAAACAAAACAAAAACAAATGGATATTCACTCCACCCATTCCAGAACTATTTACATATTAAACCAATTTGCTTATTACTGAAGTCTCCACAGTACATATCAATTTAAATAAAATCTGCAAATTCAGGGGAGAGGGGGGGGACATGCTGTACCCAAATAATGATGTCCACGATGCCCAGTGTTATGATAGAGGAACACCTGGCTACTCCATGTGAAGATGATAGCAGCTAGAAACTACACTATAATTTTCAGTTTTAGTGACAATAATCATATTTATACCACAAAAAATGATAATTAGTCTTTAATAACATATTAATTGATCATGCATTATACAACTTAAGTTTCAAAAACATTAAAACTTGTTGATTAACAAGCTAAAGATGTAATAAAATGTTTTTCCTACAATTTTGTGTCATTAAAATAGATCAGCACAAGGTAAAATATATTTATATATCTATTTATATTATAATTCTTTCTTTGGCGGGGAGTGTCTGGTGGGGTTTAGAAAATGTTGATATAAATTAAATAGGGGCGGGGTCATTGAAAGTTTGACAGTTGTTAACAGGGATGAGGGGGGTGAAAATTGCGTAAAATTTGTTGGCGTAATTAATGGACGACTCTTAATTTATTTTTTCCTAATTTCTTAAAAAATGTCACAATTTGAAATTTCTAACAGCAGATGGCGCTCTCCTCGCTAGTTCAAAATGTTAAAAATCTTGGATCATTCTCCGTTTAAAAAGTTGAACAAAGTTATCTCAACAGCTAGGAATTTGCCCGACAAAATTATAATCACGACGAAAAAGGTAGTATTTTTTTAGTTGTAATTTTCTTAAACTAGTTTAACGCTCCAATAAGTAATCATTTAACTTCTTAATCGATTGACCAATTATTTAAGTTCCCTAAATGATTGTGCTTTGAGTCAGATTCTGATTCTCAACATCAATCAAACTACACAACAAAACAACTTCAAGTTTCAAGTCTGTTTTTCAATGATAATATCATCTTTTTATTTTTAATCAACAACTGCTTGAATAATTTAATAATTTTATTCATCATTATTGTCATTGGACTTGGTCGATTGGACTCATTCAAAACTCATATATCATTTATCATATATCAATATATCATCATAATTCGTATGATATGTGATAATATGTCTGATGTCATATGAATATGGTAATATGATACTGATAGAATTAGAAATAAATTAGAATCAGAAGTTAGAATGATAGTGATAGTATAAGTATAGTATTAGTATTAGTAATGATAGTGATTATCAATAATTCAAGTCTTCTTTGATTTACACTGAGTGTGACACTGATTCAATCAAACTGATTTTATCTGAGGGTACCGTACCGTACAGTATAATTTTTTTTTAAGACTAATTTTTTTTGCAAAGTGGATGCGTACACCGCGGCGGTGTACCTAGTGAAACCATCGGCTTTGGCCTGCGTAAACTGCGGCTGTGTACCTAGCGAAATGGTGTGCTTTGTCCTGGGTACACCGCGGCAAAAATGTACCATTGGCCTGGTTTTAAGATATGCCTGTTAGAAACGATCTTGTGTGGTCAAGTGGTAGAGTGGCAGCTTGGGGATATTATGAGATCAATTCCCAGTAGGGGATCAAGTTTTTTTTTTCCATTTTAATTAAAAATATTTTATATTTAAATTATCGTGTTCATTTTCAATAGTAGTTTCATGAGAAGTTTTTAAATATTTTGTAGCAATTTAAACAATTTAAATATATGTTATATTCATATTTAATATTTAATTTATCAAGTGTTTCAACAAGTTGTGCCTGCCTTTTAATTTGAAAATACCGGTAATATTCGTAATAAGACATTAGAAAACAAACTGAAAGTTTCAGAAAGCGCATGTATAGGGTATGTAACATGTATAAATGTATAAGAGAAACATTTTGAATACTAAGTTACTAAGTGATATTTTATTGTATTTCAACATTCTTCTTGTAGTTGAATATAATATTTACATTTTACTTTTACAAACACCCAAAGAAAATACCAGTATATCAATATCATATGAATATTAATGTGCATGGTTATATTTCAACCATCTTGCTTTCACTATGCATTAGCAAAATGTACACACGATATCAACGGTTCATTCACAACCCTCAGTCTCACAGCAAAACCTTTGAAAACACCACGATTTTAGAAACTTACGGCGTGGTAGCAAACTGTATAACAAAGCCATAACCATAGGTCTGCATTTACCCTGTTTATGACGGAATTTGTATCCAGAATGGCGTGGCATGTGCTATTCTCAGAGTAAAACATGACGTTTTCTCACAGAAACCATTGCACAAAGTGCTTGGGACAGGATTTGCACTATTTCAAAGTTTTATTATTTGTTGTGTTTTGTTAAGAAATCGATCCTTGCTAGGGGTTGGAGGTGAGTTATGGGCAGAGGCTTAACCAAAAAGGGGACCTACACAAATCACAGCTCTGGATAAGGGTTGTCCACAAAGGACGTCCGCGCAACAAACTTACCTTTTGCATCCCCCCAACCCGGAGAGTTGGTTGGGTGGGATGCTGATGTCCGCCGGCATTTTTTACTAATGTGTAATGCCAATGTGAAACTGATTCAATGATGTTTGATTATTGATAAAAGAGTTTTAAAAATCACTGCAGTGTTTCGTATTGATCATCATACTGTTGTTTTGTGTTGACAATCGCTTGATATCACAATTACAATGCCTCTGACAACTTTAACTTCATTACTTCATGATCTATGTGTGTGATTCTCTTCCCATTAATGTCTTTGTGGCGTAATTATATGTTGGTGCTAACAAAATAGATACACTGGCTTCCTATTCATTTTTACACCACATCTCAAGGGATCACATACAATATTATAATTATAATGCCCTCCCCCCCCAAAAAAAAACAGAGGGGGGATAATTTCATATTAGCTACCCTTTTATGCCTATTAAGATTCACAATCATATGATAAAACTTAAAGAATTAATAAATATATTTGTATTTCAATATATGGGGGAAATAAAGTGGTTAACTTTAAAAATAAATAATGGTTTAACATTACACCCCCAGCCCTCTCCCTTCCAATAAATATTAAGAAATGCTCTACAAGTACTTTGCCACGTGAGCGTGGAACTTACTCAATATCTTCCGCCAAAGGTACTAAACGATTTTTAAATAAATAGTTTTCAGTTTTAACAAGAGTATAACATTAAATCTACAAGTACCGGTTAGGCCAAAAAGTTAAAGACTCGCAAAGACCATTGTTTTGCTACTTAAAATCACTGCAGTGTACGCAGGCCACAGACAATGATTTAGCTAGGTACACCACCACGGTGTACGCAGGCCAAAGTCAATAGTTTCTCTAGGTACACTGCCGCTGTGTATGTAGTGCCGGCCTTTTTTTTGTAGAATTAAATTTTACCTCCAGCTCCAAACAGCCACTATTGTTTTAACGATCACTATGCCATTAGTTTTTTAAAATTATATTATTATGAACCAATAATTGATAATCTACCACTTGAGCATTGTCATTGGTTAAGAAAAAATCTAGTTGTTACGGTTGGAAGTGCTATTTAAATTTAAACAGTTATTCTTTTAATTTTATGATAAGATCTAAAAGATGGAAATATTTTTTTTATAACATTGAACACATTCATTTCAGCACATAATAATATAAATAATCCAAGACATATAAAAAAAAGAAAAGTGAAAAAAGAAAATTATTTAAATGAATTATGCTAATTAACTTAAAACGGAAGCGGAACTATTAATAAACATGTCAATAAAAGAATAACCGTTTAACTAGCATTTCTACCAGAACGACAGGATATTTTCATAACCAGCACTTAAGTGGTAGATTATCCAATAAATTTCAAGATGTAATATTACAATTGGTGCTCTGATCAAATTTGGTACCCAGGGGTTTCAAAAGATGTGCTACTCATTTGACAGTGTTTTTGCACTACTTTTTTTACACGGTCGCCATCTTAGTGACCATGATGACAGAAGGGAGACTCTGTGTTATACGGTAAAATATTTTAAAAAAACAAGAGAATAGTTTAACTTTCATACAAGCAAACTAGTCATACATTTTGTTATCATTGGTTAAATAACGCAACTTTATTGTATCCCTCTTTGATATGCAGCAAGAAGTGTCAATGACCTGCAACCACTCCATTACTAACTTTATTACAGTTTCCACCGAAAATCCAAAATACTGTATTACACGCACTTTTTCTCCCTGAAAATAGGGGCAAATGATGTGTGCATTTTATACGCCTATATAATGTTAAGGACCCATAGTACATACAGCATAGCGGCGCGAACAGTGCGTGTTATCCGCCTGTGCGTGTTATACGCCGATAAATACGGTATGTCAGGAAAGTCAACATCAATTTTTCAAAATAGTCAGGCCAGCAAAAAATAGCCTTGTTTTGAAATATTGTAATTAACCACACTATGAAATATTTATTTTAAAAGCCTTCAATCAAAGATATCCTATCAGCATAAATATGTAATAAAGGGAGTAGTTAACTCCAGTAACATTTGTGGCTAAATAAAGCGGAGAGAATCCTACGCATAAACTCAGGGTGGCGCGGAAAGCCTAAATTGACACTTGATTGATTTCCAGAAAACTTGACCAGGTGAACCAGTTTGCTCAGGACTAGAACTTGACCATAATAAATTTTGTTTACAGACACACCCTGGGGAGGAGAATGAGGTTTGACAACTTTTCCTAGTAATTTATGGCATTTAGGTCCTGCATGGACAATCACCTGAGTCGACTCCAAAGTAATCTTGACAGAAAAGCCTTAAAATTGGAAATACCTGGAAAAAGTCATCAATCATCCCCCATCCCATGATATTTAAAAAAATTCCGGTCGTCGGTTGGTTCCTGAGCGAACTGGCTCCACCAGTCAAAGTTTTGCAAGAATTTGAACCTGCATTAAGAAAACCCCTTCATATATGTGACTGTGTGATGTAACTTGTGACATAATGAGATATGTCATTACCTATGTCATTCCAAAAAAAATAAAGTATGTAAGAACAAACATTTTGCATGAAAAAGGGATGATTTTGACACCTTATTAAGATTAGCGCCTGGGCTGCAAGGTGGAAAGGGCATACAAATTTGATATATTTTTTTTAGATACTAATATATGGATTGCATCTATTTGTGTTGTTATTGTGTAACTTTATTTCTTTTTTGATGAATTATGATAATAGAGGGAGGAGGGAAGGTACAAAATGGTCCAAAATAGTTTGGCATCATTTATTGATGGTTCATAATCAAGAAAGTTCAATATTATGCATACAATTAATGAAAACCCCTTTTTAGATTTCAAAATTGAGAATGTAATAAACTTCCCTTAACTGATACTTTACTGAGTCCGAGAATCAATTTATTTCATTTAGAATAATCTCTTGCCCTGTATACAGCTCTTTTTATAATCATTGTCAAACATTAATTTTTCATTTAAAATGATTACCTATGAATGCGCCATTAAACAACGGAGTCAGGCTACCTTTATCAGTCAACCAAGGGTAGTTAACAAACTAAAATCTGGGTTTACAAAATGAGTAAATTTAGTTTAGTAAGCTTTACCACGGCTGTCATCTTGACCTCATTTTTAAATAGGATTCATCAGCAATAAAGTGTTTAGATATCCCTGAAATTTGGTCTAGTGGTAGAGGATATGCTAGTCATGCCTGTGTTTTGGCTTTCTAATCTCAGACAATGATTAAGTTTTACTTACCTCCTTTTTTTGTTTTCGTCTTAAAAAAATATAATTTTTATTATTAGGCTAAATTATTATAGTAATAGCTACAATTAAATTCATTTGTAATGTAGCCTACTCCTTTGAATTTATTATGTGCTACCAAAATGTTTTCTTAACATATAATTTAAATAATGTCTCTTCACTCACATGAAGCTAATGAAAGAAAACATTTTAGGCCCAATGATAATTTAATTTTATTGCTTGAATGATGTGTAAGAAAAGAAGACAACAATGTAACGAGTAAAGGCACATTTTAAGAAATATAAATAACTAGTTCATCCTGAATTTGAAAATGATTCCTCAATAATTGTACTGTCTTTTTTTCTCAGATCATTCTCTGTAAAATACGACAGACCTACAAGGAATATTATTTTGACACCTAAAACATGGGGGATGACACAGAATGGCTTAAATTACCTACCGAGGAGAAATGCCAACACAAGGTAAATATTTTGCTTGGTTTTTGATGGGCTACATTTTATTTTTGTCACATAAAAATATTTAAAAATGAAGAAAGATAGCCTTACACAAAAAACCAAAAAAGCACAGTGGTTAAAACTAAAACTTCTATTTTTAAAATTTGAACTTGTGTCGCACTGTCCTTGATCGAAGTTTAAATACAAATACAGGCATGGAAAGCAAGGGTTGCTGGATATGAGGAAGTGACCAAGCTGTTTAATGGTCTTGATGAAAAGAGTCCAGAATTTAATCGCTATGGTGGGCTACTGAAAAAATTTGTTACCGATGCAAATGCTGTGGCACAAGAAAAAGGATTAGAAGCTGTTTATGCTTTTGTGGAAAATGCCTCAACTACCATTTGTGGCAGGTAAGAAAAACTTATTTAGGTAATACTTAAAAATTTTACTGCGAAGGAAGAATTTTTTTAGGCACCTACTTTTTAATTATTCATCACTATTATTTGTAAACTGTTGCTTGTTATTACAGATTTAAAGAGTTGCTACTTTAAATCAACATCTAATAAATTTTAACCTAGAAATATTTTAGCTACACCTATTTTGCAATCAGTAAATCAAAGATCCCTCAGACATTATATCTTTAAAAATTCAAGTGCTCTGCCAATTTTCACATTTCAGGGATATGCAGAAAGTTAAAAATGATTCCATAAAAAAAAAAAAGGAACTTGAAGAAAAAAAAAGACATTACTTATGTACTTAAGTCAAGAACAATAAAATGAGGATAAAATATTATGCCTATTTCCAATCAGGGCCATTGTGATATGAAAGATGTGTCTTAGATCAGCATATGCTTAAATATTTTGCTGTGGGTGAAAAATATCTCATTATGGCTCTGTACCTACGTTCAAATGGACTTTTTTCCAAAAAATAAATTGACATTAAAAGCTTTTTATATTAAATGGACATTAAAAGCTTTTTATATTGCATTGCTGTTTGAATAAATTAGTTTATATTTGTTTAATATAAATTTCTTCTTCTCTTAGGACTTGTAATGAAGTTGTCAGTGGCATTATAGCCAAATGTTTTAACGCCAGCAGACAGAAGACCAAAGACAAAGGTGTAGAAATCATCTTGCTGTACATTGAAGCAGAGAAACCTGATATAGTTCAAGTAAGCATTACTATTTTTTAATTAAGTTTTAAAAACCAAAGAAAGAGCAATAAATGTTCTTTTGCGTAACGCAACATTGATTTTGCTTACTGGTGAATTCCATGTAAAAGTGGACACTACATCAAAAAATTATCATGGATCTTGGTATGGAGTCATATTTAGTATCATGTTGTGTGTGACACATGTCATGGTGGCCATCATGAATTAACATGTTGTCTGAACATTTTATTGTTTACATCTAATAAATATAGACAGACAATATTTATTGTCATGGCCAATGTCACATAATGGAAAAACATTAAAACACCATTATTTATGTTTATTTAAGTTAATTTAACTTATTTCTGTAGTCATTGGTCTGTGCATAAAATATTTTTATAAATTAATAAAAATAAAACATATTTAAGTTTCGTCTACATGCAATTCGAATTCTTTGTTTACATAGAGTGCTAATCTACACTTACTGCGCAGTCTTTCTTTGCATATACCTATTAAGAAATTTAAAATTATTTTCTACTTTAAGGACATTTTAACTTGTCTTTTAAAAGTCTTTTTTATCAAGTTTAACAAAATATTTTTTACTACTATTATGCTTAATATGCTATTGTTTTACAGTCTTCCAACTTAAGACATAAAAACAATGTTTTAGTTAAATTAAGCACACTTAATGGAATTTTTCATTTATACTGGATGCAAGTTGAAATTATTTTTCTGAAAGTTATGTCAGTTACTATGGAATTCACCATCTAAAAGATAATAAAAAAAGGGATTATCCACTTGCAGTGTACTTTAAAACCTGGAGCAATAATTTTTTTGGGTTCAGGTACTTTCAGATGTAGAGAATTTATAATAATGGAATAAAATTGGGACAATTTCTCATTAAAAAAGACAACTAATAAATTACATTATAAAATATTGCTATTGATGCTATGATCATGAATAACACCAGGGCAACAGTGATTCAAGTATTTTCAATCAAGAACTTGTGTTTTTATATGTAGATGAACTGTCTCATTAAATATATGACCTTTTAATTGCTTTGGCCACCATTCAAATCTATTTCAATATTATTTTTTTATAAGCTAATTAATTAAATAAAAATTTGTTATAATGTTTCCTTTTAAAGTTTGGTATTTGAACTTAATAGTACACTAAATCTTACAGGAATGTCTGATGGCAGGGATGGAAAACAAACAGCCCAAAGTTGTTATAGGATGTGTTCAGACAGTTACCTTGGCCTTGAGGTGGGTATAAAAACAGAAATCAAGAGCTTAGTTTGTGGCATGTTAAAATGTGTGTACCATTCCATTTACTTCTTAATTATATGTTAAGATAGTTTGTGTCTAAGAATTGTCTGGACAATATATTTTATTCATCAAATTTTAAAAAATGTAAAATAAATGAAAACTCATTTGAAAGTGGAAACTGAATGACAAGGAAACACTCGTTTGTGTTGCTTGTTCTTTGAGTGCTGTGTTGACAAGAAAAATATTTAATGAATTTTCAATTTGATAAATGAGTTGTACGTATACGCTTTGTCTGTAGAATGTCACATGTCCAGAACTAAGGCGATAGTTCTTCTTTCTCTTGCTGCAGGACTGTGGGTTATCATTCCCCATGTCCTGTCTCAGTTTGTGTGCCTAACTTATATAATCAGATACGTGAGAATGTATACCGTTTAATAATAGTTTGTGCACTGGTGAAGAAAGATGGGAATGGAGAGGGGCACTCCGCCCTGAGTTACAACTTTTTTGTGGCAACATTTTCGGTCCACTTCTTCATATTACGTTATGGCATTTTTAAAAAAATTCCTAATCTGCATGTTTTTAATTTCCATGAAGTAAGTGCACAAAATCAAGTGTCACAGACTCTTAGTTGCGCCACAATGTGTGCGTAAGCATTAAAAGTTTTTTTTTCTAGTGTATTGATTGTTCTCAAGTAACTATTCTACAACATTGGCCTCCCCAGGTTGATAAGGAAGGTAGTAAAAAGAATGAGATGATCACAAGGGAGGCAAAAGAAAGTTTCATTGGATAGGTTCCTTGTTAAAGTTGCAAAAACTGAAAAAGATTTTAGTGAGCCATGAGACAACAGTCATATTAATACCAGTTGTTAAAGTCATCCTGCATAATAACCCTCCTCCTTTCCTTTATCTCATCTACAATCACCGGCCACTATTAGATTAATACATTTGAACACTATATCAGCGTTTCCCAAACTTTTGTTTTTATGACCCGGTTATTTTGATATGACTCATTAACATTTGTATAGCCTATACTGGCATATAGTAACATATTACAGATATGAAAGTCCACACAGTTATCCTATATTATAATAAAGTATTTACTCACACAAGACCGTAAAAAAATAAAACTTACCAAAAGTTCAGTAATGAGTACGTCACGATAATCTAACTAGCTTTTCAAACATTTTCTTCTTCTTTCAGCGACCTGTTATTTTTCCTTTTGTTGCCGGTACTAGGTCACGGCACGTCATTTGGGAAAACGCTGCTTTATATAATCTGAAATGTGTATGATTAAATATGAAAATGTATTTTGTATTAACCAATTTTGGGGTTGTGGAACAAAGCATGTTAAGTTTCGAATATTTGTAATGGGAAATTCTCTTTGATATATGAGAGTATCGGATTACAAAAACATTTCTAAAACAAATTATATCCGTTATCCAAGAATTAACTGTAAATGTTTGTGCATTTCTCCAGGGATTTTGGAACAAAGGTGATACAGGTTAAGCCATTGCTGAAGTTTCTTCCCAAGCTGCTAGATGACAGAGACAAAGTTGTCAGGGAGGAAACTAAACAGTTGGTCATTGAACTCTATCGGTGGATTGGGGCAGCACTCAAGCCCCAGATGACCAATTTTAAACCCATTCAGGTTTGTTTTTGAGCTTTTTAACATTTACCACATTTTAAAGGCCCAACTGGTGACACGCCCTTCTGAAGCCTACCACCTAAATATTTCTCAGCATTATCCCCAATTCTTGATCTTTATTAGGTTCAGGAGCTTGAAGCAGAGTTTGAAAAACTGCCTCAAGGAAAAGCACAGCAGACAAGGTTTATGAGATCTCAGCAAGACCTGAAAGCCAAAATGGAACAGCAGACTGCTGTGGCTGCTGAAGGTGGCAGTGATGAAGTAGATAATGTTGCAGGTTAGAATTTCATTTTTTTGTTCAGTTTTATAAATCAACATAAATCAATCAGGATAGTTCCCATCGAAAAGGTTAACCAAAACAAATTCCTTGTAAAAGATCTAAGAAACTAATGGCTGTGTTCATACACATTTTTGTTCAAACTTTTTTTAATTTAATAGTCCTTGTGCTCAATAATTAGCATTTTGTAAAAATTTTCCGTAAAAGTAAAACATGTCATAAATTAAAGAAATTGAGATTTTTTATTAAAAATAAATTTAAACAAAATTATTATTATTATTATTTTTTTTAATTATATTGTTTTAAAAAAAGTTTTAAGTAATTGACAAGCACAAACATATAAACAAACAGAAGAGCTGTTACCATTTATTTTTTTAAACATATAAATCCTGTTCTACAAAGAAAGCCAGTCATATTATCTTTACCAGAGAAATGTTATCTTTAATTATATTTTTGTTTTCACAAACTTTTTACATTACTTCAAATAGCTTTTTGGTGACAGCTGGAAAGGTAGACCACATTAGCTAACCATGTATACCATGTGCTTAACTCAGACTGTGTCATTTATTTCCAGAAGAGGAAGCCATTGATCCTTATGATCTGATGACACCAGTAGATCTTCTTGCTGGGCTGCCCAAAAACTTCTATGAACAAATTGTAAGGCCTTTATATGAGTTGTTGAATGTGGCTGTGTCCTTTGTTTGTGCTATTCAGTGGCTGTGCCCTTTGTTTGTGCTATTCAGTGGCTGTGTGTCGAGATGTTGTATCTGTTGTGTTGCAAATCATCCACTCATGGCAATGAGTGTCTATTCATCCAGCCAAGTCTCCCACTTGATCACCGAACAGCACAACCAATAGTAATAGTCTCCAAATCAACAAACACTCCACGGTTCGTTACAATATATAAATTTAATATGCCTCTTCAACATGACAATCAGTGTACTTCACTATACAGCTTGTAACCGTTCAACTTCACAATATATCTAGTTGAAATCCTCACACATAGAAACATCACACAAGAAGCTACATCTTGAATAGTGCACAACGGCCATCTCTCTTCTCCAACAACGAAAACTAACGCATCACTTCCCATTACACAATTACGTCACAACACTCTCACACAAATGATACAGCTACACGTAAAATCTCTTACTCAACATCTTTTCACTATCAAACATGACAACAATGCTCTACACATAACAACAGTGATTCTCATACCCTTGACACTGTGCCCTTTGTTTGTGCTATTCAGTGGCTGTGCCCATTGATAATGTTTGAAGGCAGTAGAAAATAATTGTGTTTAACTAGAGGGAATTATTATCTTCTGGCCAATCTGTTTATAAATAACACATTTCTTTAGTGTTTTGTGATAGCAGGATTACAAATTTTAATTGAAAAAGGAAAATAATTACTTGAGTATCAGATAAAAGTTAAGAATTTTTATTGATGCCGCAATTATTTTAGCTTTTCAAAATTGATGATGAATTAGCACAGTTCAGAGGGTATGTAGTATTTAATTCTTACAGATCAAAATCTGAAGCACCAGTTAATTTTTCTTAGTTCATTTACAAGGGAAAAAAGTTGTGTATGTCGGCTGTTTTCGTAAAAGCATTTGCAAGTAATTTGTATAAACTCTGTAATGTACAGGAATCAAAAAAATGGCAGGAGAGGAAAGAGGTGCTTGAACAAGTGGAGAAACTGGCAGAGAATCCCAGGTTGGAGAATGGGGACTACAGCACATTGATAAGAACAATATTAAAGGTAAAAAAGTTATTTATTTCATATTAAACATTAATATTCATCAAGCAGTATAGTGTAGTAAAAAAAAAAATCTTCAAATAACTATGTAGTTCCTCTTAGTGTGAGAATCACTCTATTTACCCTTGAGAAACTATAGCTAAACTCTTGAGAAACTATAGTTACACACTTGAAACATTAAAAGATAAGTGCACCAGTTCCTATAGTCTTGGTAAAGTACTCAAGGTAAATTTATCTACTCTTACTTCATCTCAATTTAATCTCAAAATGTCTGAAAATGCCATCTAAGCCATAGATAATGATCTAGCACCCAAACACCTCATTTAATGCCACCCTGCTACATACCTAATGCCTCCAAGATTTCTTTTACAGCTCAGCCACTCACTTATGACAGATTGATGGATTTGACACTATCACTAAACATAAGCAAAAGAAGATCTCATTTAATGTGATTGTCACTTAACAAACATTTTCAACACAATGCATTCCTCTGTTTGCTGCTTGTGTCAGAATGCTGAACTGGGTACATTATCACTAGGTTAAAAGTTATACTGCAAATGACAATGAGACTCTTGCTCTGCTTGGGCCCCAAGCTTCTTGCCTCATGTTGGTGTCAACTGGCGACAAAATGCAAGCAAAACTCCAATTCTCACTTTATGTTTTTATTGTGTACTGTGGATATGGCAAAATTAAATTTTGAACTGAACAAGACTAATAAAATCTCAGACTTGTGATTTCTTTTATTCATCAGGTTATTGCTAAAGACACAAATGTTATGTTAGTATCCCTTGCTGCTAAAACATTAGCTGGAATTGCCAAGGGCTTACGAAAAAAATTTCAGCCCTATGCATCACAGGTTAGACACATTTAATCAAGCCTTTTATGCTTTAAAGAGTTAAGTTCTTTACAAATTTAGATAATATAAAATTTTTAAGTATTGTTCTCCAAATTTTACAATTTATAATAGATATTTCTCTGAATGATCTCATTTCTCATGTTATTTTTGAAGGTATAAAAAAAACAATTTTGTTTCCATGCTTAGAAATATGCGCTCCCACTTAATTCTCTTTAGATAAATTTTTTATTTTTTTTTAATAAAGTGCGTGTCGACTATTCTTGAAAAATTCAAAGAGAAGAAGCAAGCTGTTGTGGTGGCCCTGAGAGAAGCCATTGATGCCAGCTATCAATCAGTGAGTCTTTTTATTTCCATAATAAGGGAGGAGAGAGACTGCAAATCAGGTTAGATAGAGGGAAATAAGTGAAACAAGGTTTTGTTGCGTACTTTTTAAATTATTTTTTTTAGGTTTTCTCATTTCCTTTTTATTTGCAATATGCTTCTTCTTTTAAAGGTCTCTAATCCAGAATGCTGAAATATTAACACTTTTTGGTTCATGATTTTATTTTTAAGCTGTTTTGCTTCATGGTTTATTTCATAGTTTTTCAAAACCTCATTTAAATAATTTGAAGTCTCACGTATTTAAAAAAAAAAATTCTGTATGCATCTATCCATGTAAATTTAACAACTTCAGATTAACCTTGAGGTCATCATTGAGGACACCGTGGCAGCTCTTGATAATAAGAACCCGTCCATCAAAATGGAAACTGCCTTGTTTCTAGCCAGATGCTTCTCCAGGTGTACGCATGGCTCATTGCCAAAGAAAATGCTCAAGGCTTATGTCACACCTCTTCTCAAGGTATGAAGAAAGATTATTGTTGGTGGGATGTTTTTTTTGTCCCCCCTGTTCTTTTCATGAAGACTACCGTTAACTCTGCTGCAGTAAATTAATTTTAAATACTTTTAAAGCAATTATCCACCTACTGTGATAATGATTTGACTTAAGATCAATAGTATGTTAAAAAAATACTTTAATGTTGGGACATTAAAATTAATTTCATCACCATTTTTTCTCTCTCTCTATTTTGTGTTTTTATTTAGTAAGCTGAACACGTGTGTTTACAGTGTAATCAAAACAAATTTCCATTTGTTTGGATCAATTAAAAAAAAAAAAAAATTCTCAAACTTATCATTGTTTAACAGGTATAGTTATGTGATTTGGTAATGAATGAAATACCTGATGTGTGGACTTCCCATTTTTAAAAACTTGATGATATGATATTATTGTAGAGACAATATTACTGTTCAACTTATGGTTTCAGACAATGAATGAATCTGACCCATCTGTGAGAGAAGCCTCATTTGAGGCTCTGGGTGTTGCTATGAAAGTTGTGACAGAAAAAAACATAGTGCCTTTCCTTATTGATGTGGACAACATTAAAATGCAGAAGGTAAACTAATTTTTAGGTAATTTTGATCTGTATCTTAGTCAACCACAAACATTGTGCTGGTGACTTGATTTGAATAAACAAATAGTGGAACAAGATACGTCTAGGCTAAAAAAGAAATGAGAGGACAATTAAACAGGTGTTTCAGCAGACAATACCAAACAAAATAAAAAAATACTTCAAAATCAAAACTTGTGTGTTCAAAATTATCAAAAAAGTATGAAGTCCAATGTCCCTCATATTTAATATCCTTTGACTTAATTTGATCCATATTGTAATCAACCAAGAACATGGTGGTTACTTGATTTGATCCATATTGTAATCAACCAAGAACATGCTGGTTACTTGATTTGATCCATATTGTAATCAACCAAGAAAACTGTGCTAGCGCCTTGAAATGCTGTTGTCATTACTGAGGGCAATTATGGCAATATCAAAACAATACCTGAGACCTTAGCTTAAATCCCAAACATTGTGTGGGTGTATTAGCTTCCAGATTGGTCTTCCACACTGTTCATATTTCTTAGACAGTGTTATAATTGATTATAGACTGTTTTTAAAATGGAAATTTCACTATACTGTTAATTTGATTATAATATTATTTGAATGTATGGCTGTTTAAATTATCCTTTATGTCATAAGGGAAGTTTAAATTATTTTTAAAAAATTAATTAATTTCTCATGAGATTATGAAATATGTATCTTGATATTTTCTTATATTGGAAAATATAACAAGAAGACGCAATGAAATTAGTAGAGTCAGTATTTAAAACAGGTACAAATGTATTAAATCCAAATTCACACTTAAGTATTCTACAATTTTAGATTCAAGAATGGTGTCAGAAGGCTGTCCTCCTTAATGCTAAAGGTGAGCCTCGTGGAGATGGAAAGGCTGCTGCTGCAAAGAAACCACCTAATGCTGCACCACCATCAAAGGCGGGCAGTGAAGAACCAAAGGCAGTCAAGCGTCCAGCCAGTGCAGCAGCCAAGCCTGGCAAGGTAGCTCTAGTGGTGTAAATGATGTGCATTAAATGATATCTGCTAAATTTTCATATAAAATACTTACATTTAATGATACAATTTTGGAACTGTGATGCCATAATTAATGTTGTTTCCCCTTTGGCCAAGATTTTACATCTTCAAATTCATCTGGGCGAGTCCAAAGCTAAGGGTAAATAGCACTGTGAATAGAACTCATCATTAGACCAATAATACAGGAGGTAAACCTCAACCTATTATGTGGGTAGTTAATGGCTGACCTGGCAGTGATTAAAAATTGCCTGTCAATGCAAAAATAGCTATTTTTAAAAAAAGCAACAACATTTGCATTGCAGTATAAATTCATTCAATATTGTTGAATAGCAAATGAAATGTAGTTTTGTTCAATTTACAAAGAGTAACATCCTTCTCCTGTACAAAAGAAAGAGAAAAAAAAGGTTGCTCTTGTACTTAGTTTCCCTTCCAATTTGTTTAAAAGGTAAAGCACACCAGATCAGTTGCGTGGACAAAAACCATTTGATTTGCAATTTAGAAATAAATTGTTTAATGATTGTAAAGAAATGTATCATTTACATTTAAAATTATTTGTTTGTTTCTTTGTTTGTCTGTGTATTTTTAAATAAGAATGCCTCATCCCGATATATTTATGTAATGTTCATTGTTGTTTTTGTATCCTCTCTTCAGCCACCTCCTAAACCCGCTGCAGGAGGTACTGCAGCAAAGGGCAAACCAAAGGTAATATCAGCTGAACTCTGATTTGTCTCTCTGTTATAGTTAACCAGTTCTTTGAATGTCTGTGGATTTGATTTGGGTTCATGAATTGCAAGCTTTAGTGTAACTTTAATAAGTTAACTTACAACAAGATCATTCATTCTTGCCTAGCGTAGATATAGCTGAAGAATGAGTTTAATACCAAATGTTTCATTTAGTTAGCCTCTGTCTCAAACTTAACAATAAAACTGATAAAAGGGATTATAATACATGTATTTTATTGACGTTCTTAACAATGGAATATGCTAAAAATGTATCTTTCAATGTATTTGTACATTTCAGGCGGGAAAAGCCCCAGCAAAGAAGGGTGGAAAAGTTGAAGAGAAACTGGAGCCGGCTTTGAGTGTAAGTAAAACTTTTTTCAAACCTATGTGTAAAGCTTTCCATTTCTGTACCTTGTGTTAAGAAGCATGCGTCCTAGCCAAGAAGATATGAGCCTCTGATTTTCCCACTTAACCCATTAGAGAGTTTGTGCAGGCACAGCCTTGACTCCTGCTGTGGACTGGCCATTTATCTTGACCATTCTGCTGCCCCGTTTCAAAATTTATTGATATGCTCTATAAAAATCTTATTTGACTTAGTTTAGGGTCAATGCTTTTAGTTGGCATACAATGTATGATTTTGAGATGTCTTTTACAATAGTGCGGCGAGACCTGTCAGAACTACGACTTGAAGAGACCGGGTTGGAAAATATATTCCTTTTTACTTTACGATTCAAAAAAAAAAATTCTGTCATTACAATTACCTCCTTTCTACATTGGCGATGAATAAACCATCCATAATTATTATGGAGGGGACGGGTGGTGGTGTTGACTTCAGACATAATTTTTAAGGTTATACAATAGCCCTGCCTTGTTTCTTAATGATGATGAGTGTAATATTATTGCTTTGTGTTTTCACAATCATCTCGCTAGATACAGCAACAGTAATATTAGCTTGGTCGCCCTAGTTACAAATTTAGTCAAGATTCACTTGAAAATAGAGAAAACATTAGATACATTAGATATAACATATTTTATAAATCTGGTAAGGGGCATTTAAAATCTATTTTCAGACGTCACTAAGCAGCTGTTCAATTTTTTAATACCCCAGTTTTGCTCCAGCATGCCTCTACCATTTCCAAATGTTGCTGGCGTTAGTAATTAAACTATAATATGTTAATTGAAAATAAAATCAGGCTGAGGCATAATGCAGGGGTGTCTAACCTGCAGTTCACCACGTTAAATATTGTGGCTTGCCGGATGAATTACAAATGAACTTACTTCTACATTCAATTAGCGATGATTTTCATTTTAGCCCAGCTCCTTCTTCGGGGTGACTTCAACGTACTTCCTTGATTTCTGCCCCCTAATCCATCTTTGACTATAAAAAGAGCAATGTTGAGACACCTGTTTTTTTTTGTTTTTTTGTTGTTGTTTTTTTTTTGTTTGTTTTTTTGCGATAAAGCACTATATATCAGCATCAATCATCTACTTTGGGAGTGTGACCTTTTTTAGACATGCAATGCGAATAGTTATTGTATACATCATACTGTATGTTTACTTACTATTACGATAAGCTATTGTTTGATATTTAGATGTTACATACTTTTCTGAAACGATATGTACTTCTTTGGGAGTTCCAGGGTAACCAGTACAGCAAACTTTGTACAATTACAGGATGCCTGTCCCCATACACATACACACAAATATATGCACTAGTCTTACTACAGAAAGACCAGAAAAATTGGAGATTTCAGAAAGACAGGTTTTTTAAAATAAGTCTTTAAGTAAAAGTAAATCATAAAATAATCTGAATATTTTGTGGTCAGTTTTCCAGGCAGTCATCATGGGAAAGCCCCATGTCTCGCTTCTCTAGGGTACAAGTATAACAGCTTTGATGTTTTATTTTATTTGTAATGGATTTTAAATGTTTTGTTTTAAGTTTTAGTATTTATATTTTGAGTTTGATCCACACTGCAAGCAATTTTCTAATGTTTATTGAAATTCATTGAAATTTTATTTTGTTATTTTTTTAAACTTTTAGTTTTTCATATGTGTTGGTCCCGAGATTTGACTCCTAAAATACTTTAAATAAAAGTCCATTCCACTAATAGAATAATTTAAACAAATATGTCATTAAAAGCCTCAGCAACCTTTAAATTTTCTTGGTTTTTGTTTTCTTCTACCAGGATGAAGCTGTAGAAGAGAAGGCCCAGATTTACCTCCCTGGTGACACATTGACAAATTTGGCAAGTGCCAATTGGAAGGAGAGATTGGCGGCCATGGAAAATTTTGTTAAGGTTTGTTCCTGATCTGCTGATTTGTGAGCAGATTTTCTGTAGCATGATTCATTGTTTTGAAATAACCCTCTGTAAATGGTAAGGTTTTCCTCACTGCAGGTGTGGGGGGAACTGACGTATTTATCGTTAGTTAAATCTGTGTTTTAAGTTACATTTGATCTGAATATAGAGATATCTTCACATTTACTTAAAAGCAAAGGCAATTGATGAAATTACCAGACTTTTACAAGTCTGGTAGGAGTTGTTTGTAAAATATTTTATATTCAGGTAGTTTTATGAGTGAAATAAAAACTGAGCATGTTCTGCATCGGCTCATGAAATGTAAAACAGAGAGGTCACCTAAAAAATAAACCTACTTATAGTGAATCCATTAATAATGGACCCATTAATAAGGAAACCACTTGGGATTAAACAAGGAGTGAAGCTTGTGCTCAAAATAGAGATTGTAACAATAATAAATTACAGGTAGTCAGCAGCACCGGCAAGGATGACATACCATGTCAGGTGTGCATCAGAGTACTCAACAACAAGCCTGGTCTTAAGGAAACCAATTTTCAGGTACTGCAACCTTCTTTTATTTATGAGTTTAAAAAAAAAATTATGTTGATAAATTTCAAAAATGTTTCGATGAAATATAGTTAATCTACAGATATCTGTTATTGCCATAACTTTACACTCTAAGAATCAACAATAAATATCTTAGTGTATATTTAGCTTTAATCCATAAATGACAACATGCATCTAGGGAGCAGGAGGACTCACAGTTTGTGAAGATTTAATATGAGGGAGTATAAATTGTGTGACAAATTTGTCATGATTTTCAGAATAAGCAAGAGTAGCATGATGTCATTTGTTGATGGCCCCTTGTCTAATTTTTACATTCACCTTAATTCAAGCAAAATTAAATTTGTTAAAATCCTGGGCAAATATTAGGCAGTGCCATTAAACTTGGTTAGAAGATGATTCAGTATTGCCATATTTTGTGTCTGCTGCAGGTTCTAAAGTTGAAGTTGGAGCTGATTGTCCACTTGGCACGCAATGCCAGGTTCTCCAAGAGGTGTGCAGAGTTTGTTCTAACGGAAATTGTGGACAAGTTGGGTGATGCTAAAAATGGAGGTGTAGCCAAGGAATGTCTGACAGCAATGGCAGAAGCCATAGGTCTGGATTACGTCAGCTTAGAGGTCTGTGTGTTTATGTATATCTTTCTTTTTAAATTATGTAGAAGTTGAGATTAGATCAATAAATTGTCCAGTGAAATTTTATGAAGTTAAAAAAAAACCCAAAAAACTTAATGAAAGCATAATTTGCTTAATAATAAAACACTGTCTTTTATTTAACCTTATAGACTATTTTTCTTTTATTCAGGATCAAAAATGTTTAATAATCAACAAAAGTAATGGCTTTTATTAAGATTAAATTTAAAAAATTTTAAAAACGTACACCCTCTTTCCCAGGTGATGACTCGTGCATTTGAGCAGAAGAATCCTAAAAATCAGCAGGAGACACTGACTTGGCTGACAACTGCTATCCAGGAGTTCGGCCTCAAGTAAGTTCTAAATCTTGATAGAGACCAGTGTGACTGTAGATAACTTGTTACAGTGCACTTTGACTGTAGATAAACTTGATACATAGCACTGGAACTGTAGATACACATTGGGCTGTTTAGACTTGGAAATAAAGTAATGAGTTTTGTTCTTGTTTTTTTCTTCTTAGTTCAAACTGAACTTTACTTCATTTATTTATTAATCTTCCAACTACAGATTGAGTGTGAAGGCATTAATCACAACAATCAGCAAGGCTCTAGCAGCCACCAATCCAGTAAGTGGATATTTTAGTATGATATTTTTTATACTCATAAAATTATATATGGAGTGATCAAATGTCGGTCATGATCCAATTTTAGACTGGGTGTGGAAATAATTTATTTATTCATCACCATTCTAAAAAATTGCTATTTCATGTCTCAGTGGGAAATAGGTTCATTTGGTTCTAATTGTAAACTTTTCTAAGAGTAGAAAGATATGTCCATAATTTTTAACAAAGGTCAAAAAAGAAATGGCTGAAAAATTTACAGAGGCCATCGATTTAGCCTGCACTAGTCAATTTAAGTTGGCTACCAGAGTGATTCCCACCTGTTAAACTAGCTCATTATTTGCCTCTGTTGACAACTTTCTTAGACTCTAAAAGAATTACCTCAGTTTTATTACTGTTTGTGTAAAATTACTGTTTGTGTAATTCAAAGTCAACATCTTTAAATGCTGATATCTTGTACCACAGGGTGTGAGGCTGGCAGGCATTTCTTTGCTTGGTGTCATGTATACATACATGGGAGACCCGCTCCGGATGTTCTTTGAGAATGAGAAGCCAGCCCTCCTACAGCAGATTGATGCAGAGTTTCTGAAGGTAAACATTTGGTTCATAAATTACATATCAGTTTTTGAAGTCACTGTATATACTCATTAAGCTTTTTTTTTTTTTCTGTTGAAATATTTCTTAAGAATGAAGTGTGATGGTTGGCTTATGAGCAGGTGAGGAGATTTTAAACATTTTCTCCAAGTACATTGGATAATGAAAATGTTATTGTATATCCTTGAGGCCCTCTTCTACTGAATGTTCAACAAGATTCTAATTTGTTATTAGAAGCTTTATATATTAATAAATAAATTCACTAACCTTAATTACTTATTTATATTCTTCTTGATGTATAGTTTTAATGTCAAGTTTTATAAATTTTGATTTTAACAATTTTTACCATGCCAAACTAGGGGGGTCGGCTTAAGAACGAACAGGCTTTTGAAGATAAGATAAGATTTTTTATGGATACAAATAAATGTAAATGTTTATTATTACAATGTACATAATCATTCTTAGCACATAGATAAATATTCTAAGCGTGAACAAATTTTAAACTAGAAAAATTTAACCACAAGACATCGTAAGTTTTTCTTAAATGAGAAAAACAGCCATCACATGCTATAGAACCTCACCCTCTTAGTGACAATATTGAGTGTTTATTTAGATTTTGTAACTGCCAGGGGGAGCAGGCTGGTATATTCTGATGGATTGGGGGGGGAGGGGGGGGCGGTTGAACTTTTTATATATTTAAGCCCTAACTTTGACCTGATCTTAGGTATCTGTGGTGAAGAAGGTTGGATGTATCCTCAAAGATAGTTTTTAGTTTTACAGATGCTTTTTGCTTCAAATATCTTCTTCAAGCGAAGGTAGTTTTGTTGGCATGATGCTGCTTTCTTTCTTGTTAAGGCTATTTAATCTGTTTTTAATGAGAAACGAATTCCCACACCGGCAGGTAATACTGAAGTTCAATAGGTTTCCAATGGATATGCTCTAGAATGTTAATAATTTGTATGCTAATAATTCTTAATGCAGAAACTTTATAAAATTTGCAGAAACTTTATAAAATTTGTTAACATAGAAAAGTTTTTGGTTAACTTTTTTAAAGAAGAATTAAGCCGTGGTCATGCCATGTTTACTATTATTAATGGTGACACCTAGGTACCACTATGTCTCTAATTGCTCTATACTGTGATCTTTTACATTTAGTTGTACAATTTGGTGACGACCCCCCAAAAACGAAAATGTTTTTTTTTACTTTAGTTTTTGAGCTATTCAGCTGATATACCTAAACTAAAGCAACAAAGTTTAAAAACAAAGGAGGGCTCAAATTGAAGACAAAAAAGAACACACCTTTCTTTTGTTCATTTTTTTTAATAGACAAGGCTTTTGGTTATAACGTTAATATCTTTGATTGTTCTTCAATAAGCCAACATGCTTGTTCTTTACACTTTTAAAAGATATATATTCTTCTTCTTGCGGCCTACCCTCTTCTAATTACTTGAGAGATATTTTGAATTTTCCATTTTTAATATGATAAAAGTTACTGTGACAGGTATTTTTACTGATCCATTTTATTTACCCACCAGATGAAAGATGTGAAGCCAGCAGCACCAACGAGGAAAGTCATTGGTGATGGTAACGACAATGAAGATGAGGACCAGGCTGATGGAGGGGAGGATGAAGAAGATGGTAGTGGAGATGCAGTGGTACAAGACTTGTTGCCTAGGACTGACATAAGGTACGTTACTGAAACAATGTGAGCTGCTGCATGAACAATTTCAAGATTTTATTCCTGTCATGCTCGTATCCTATTTCAAGGGTCTTTTAGCATTAGTAGTGGGTGAGCAAGTAATGGATACACAATGCCACTAGAAACATTAACTAAAATAATGCTTAGACTGTTCATAACTATAAGAAAAACCTATCTTCATGTGCAGCTTTAGACATTGTCTAGGGCAGTATTAGTGTTGTATAGACGTGTATAGACATTGTGTATATCATTTGTTGCTTTTATATTTTGATGACAGTGACTTACCTTTAATTGGCTAACTACTGTAAGCTGCTGGTGGTGCCGAAAATTCCTTCAATCATGGCCATGAGCCGCTCTGCGTCATTTTTTTTCTCCATAGTAATAATAGTTATATATTTACATTTTAACTTTCGTTTCGGTTCGAGATTTTAATTTACAGACATGATGTTAATTAAAAAATCACATGTAACAGTCAGAATTTAAAATACATTTTTTGTTATCCTGAGGTTAGTTAGCAATTAGCATGGCAACTAGCATGAGGTTACCAAAATCAAAATTACTGTAAATAAGTTGGAAATATGTTCATCCAATTGTGGATTTTTCTAAACTTGGAAACCTTTTCTAATTTGGTGTAGATTCGATTACATAAACTATTAGAAGTATAAATAATAATTAACTATTTTGGAAATCCAAAATTTGAAGGTTGGCACATTTTTATAGTTTTTGTAATGCTTTTTTCATGTAAATAAAAAAAAAAATATTGACCAAAAAAAATGTGTTTTAGATTTAACGTAAATAAAATTCATTTATCTACAAAATGGTATGTTATTACCGAGACAGCCCTGTTGCGCGTCGTAAAGGACCTTCTGTCATCTTATGGCGAGGGCAAGATATCGCTTTTGTCGCTACTCGATCTATCGGCTGCGTTCGATATGCTTATCCACGACATACTTCTCCAACATCTGGAAAATACGTTTGGTTTCACCGATACCATCCTGGAATGATTCCGTTTGTATCTAACAAATCGGGTCCAATCAGTTATTGCAAACGGCTTGACCTCGAAGCAATCTTTCATCTAATTCGGAGTACCCCCAGGGCTCAGTCCTAGGCCCAGTGCTTTTCACAATGTACGTTCAGCCCGTGGGTGCAGTGATCAAGCAGTTTGACATGCTATATCACATGTTCGCGGATGACACCCAACTTCGGCAATCTGTGATCCACTCTCAGTTCCCTCAGGTTCTTAGTATGACACAGAAGACAGTGGAGTCAGTTACGCACTGGATGACTATAAACAAGCTTAAACTGAATGATGAAAAGACCGAGCTGATCCCCATTGCTACCGCTCAAAAGCTAAAATATATAAATAACACACAAACCCTTGCTCTCTGGGGTGTATAGATAGAGTTTGCTAAAACAGTGCGAAACCTGGGTGTCTATTTAGACAGAACACTAACTATGGAAAATCACATTAACATGCTTTGCAAGGCGATTTTTCTAGAGCTGCTAAGACTTAGATGCATCAAAGAAGCTGATGTCTGCATTCGTGCTATCACGCATGGACTGCTGCATTGCTCTTATGGTGGCTCCTAGATAAAATTAGAAAAGCACAGAATAATGCGGCTCGCACTGTTCTTCGCAAACGCAAATTTGACCATGCTAAAACACTTCTGAGAGAGTTGCATTGGCTGCCGGTCCGCGCTCGCATAGAGTAAAAAATTGCAACTCAGTGCTACCCCTGCTTGCATGACCTGGCACCGTCATATCTCAAAGAGCTGCTGACGCCTTATATACCCACTAGACAACTCCGCTCATCTGATAGTGGCAAACTCTCGATACCACGTGTTCGCCTTGAGACTTACGAAGGGCGTACTTTCGCATTTGCTGGCCCAACAATTTGGAACACCCTTCCTGTCGCTCTCAGAAACAGCCAGTCACTGGAGTCTTTTAAAACTGATTTGAAGACATATTTATTTTGCAAACACCTGCTGGGATGTTGTCGATCTAGATATTATCTTGTGGATGTGTACTGCCCTGTGTTTTTATGGTTGTTAGGTATGTAAGACTTAGTATGGGTATTCTCGTATAGTTTTTGCAATGTTGCATTTTGTATTTCAATGTGGTATATTATAGATTGTTTCATTTCTCTTTTAACATACTAGACTCTGTACAGCACTTCGAGCCTTTGGGGATGAAGCGTGATTTTCAAATTTACTTTATTATTATTATTAAAAACATGTTAAAAATGAAGAAAGCTGCAACTGAATTTTTACATAGGCCTGCATGAGAGAAAAATGTTAACTACATTTAATTCAGCCACAGACATTTTGATAATGTGGTAGCTAATCATTTAAATTACTTTTTATTATTGAACACAAAAAAATCCATCCATTAAAAAGATGAGGTGTGCTAAGAGAGTTAAAAGTTTCTTTTGAATTTATTGGGTCAAGAAAGAAATAATTTATCCTGGATATAAATATAGCATGGAGATCTTTTTAGGAAAACTTAAAAAAAAAACAACTAAATTATATATTTAAAAATCCAACAAGAAATGCTGGGAGAGATTTTGTTCAGCTGTCTACAATTATTCAAATTTTATTGAAATTTAAGATGTATCCCAAATAAATGACGAATGTCTTCTGTTCATTCTGAAAATAACTATATGGTATGTTAATAATAACTATATGGCATGTTAATAATTGTTATAAAATATCATTTGTTCAGAAAATAGTATTTTTATATTATTAAATACTAAACCCAAATAATAGATTTAAAACATTTAAATAAAAACTTTTTCATTCCAATCAATAAGGTTTCTCTTAAGGTATTAAAATTCTTAAAGACACATGTCAGGTTCATCATTTAATTCATCATTTATAATTCAATAGTACATTTTTTTCCCCTCGTCTTGTTACGATCAGTTGATAGAATGTTTCCAAGTTGACAAAAAGTAGAATTTTTTTTTTTTTTTAGATGTGTGACCAGATTTCTGCTTGAAATAAAGCTATACTATATTTGTTGCCCAAAAGAAATTTAATTTGTCAGTTATTTTTATGATGTTGGGATTTTAATATCAATTTTTCAACCTGTTGTCTCTATATAGTTTTAATAGAGTTTATGCAAATTATGTAATCTTCAACTATTTTGCTCTACCATAGTTAATAGTCTGTTATATTTAACAGTGAAAAAATAACAGATGAGCTTTTAACAGAGATGACCGACAAAAATTGGAAAGTACGAGGGGAGGGTTTGCAAAAAGTTATAAATATTTTGCAAGAGGCAAAGTTTGTCACACCAAATCTGGGATCTCTCCCTGAGGCGCTTAAGGCTCGTCTAGGAGAATCTAATAAAAATCTGGTAAGTAATAGTTTAAAGTTGCCTGTTTTTTTTCTTTTTTCAGTGTACATTTGACACCTACTTTCCTTAGTGTCTTCTTTGATCTTCATATCTGCTGTTTATTCTCAAGTCTGGAAAACTCTGTTTATGTTTTATATCTAATAAAATTACTCTTGAATATTTAAAAAAAAAATAAACCCACTGTATTTGTACTAGATGTTTTTACATCCGTTATGACCGTTTCCACAGCAAATGACAACCATTGGGATTTGTTCAACCCTAGCCACATCCCTAGGGTCACATTGCAAAGGACCTTTTAAAGTAATTGGCCCGGGCCTTCTGATGTGCTTGGCTGACTCCAAGGTGAGCTGTTTGCTAGTCTGTTGTTTAATAAGAAGGTGCATGTTTTTTTTTTGTGCATAAGAAATTGGTCAGTCAAAGGGTAAAATGGTTGACTTGGTAGTAAAAAAAAATAGCTCAGAGACTATTAAACTATGTAATATAACTAGTGACCTCTACTACTACATTGAGTATGTGATAAAACAGGTGATTGTGAATGCTTAAATTTTGCATTAAAAATTTTTAATAATTAACTTGGATGTCCTTATTTCAAAATAAGGTTTGTTACATTTGTGTGCTTTAAATATTTGAAAGAATTGGATATCATGCTCTACTTAGAGAATCATGTCTCATTATTGGGAACTTCTTTAATAAACTCATGTTTCATGGCTAATTATATTCATTTGCTATTAATTGCATCAAAATTTGACCTTGACAGCCAGCTTTGAGAGAAAAGGTCATAGCATGTTTAAATGTTTGGGTGGAACATGCCACAATGTTGCCACTAGTGGAGAGTGAAGCCTTCTTAGATGCCCTCAAGACAGAGAACCCTTTCCTTAGAGCAGAAGTAAGTTAAATTCGGTCCCTACTTACAATGGGCCTTTTCCCTATTCTCCTTTCAAAAAATTGATCTTGTTGACTTCCTGTTGTTGTTTTTTTGTGCCAACATCTTTTTAAGCTAACCTTATTTTTCTCTCATTTTGAAGTTGCATTGCTCTGGATTTCAAGCTTTTTGATATCTTGTACTTTCCCTAGGTCTTAATTATAGTAATAGGTCATTATTTCTTACTTCATCCTTATATAAGGAGAATATCAGCAATCTTGGCCACCATTTCATCAGTGCAGATTTTTAGTTTTTTTTTTTTTTAAATTGTAGAATACAACATTTATAAAATATTGAAATACCAATCTATTATGAGAAATAGTAAATAAGGCTAAGCTGTGAAGTTATGTAAAATCTTTAGTCTTTTTGTCATATGTCAGACAGACAGAATTTGGAAACAATCTTGGGGGTAGGGGCTTTAAGAGGATGTTGGATGCAAAAAGGTTAATTGAGTGAACCTGCAGCCTGTTATTCTCATGACTTGCAATACTATTTAATTGGCATGACATTATTTTTTTTTGTACTTAAATGTAATTGTGAAATAAATGTTTATGCTATGGTCTAACAACAAAATATTTTGGTCTTGTTTTTTTAATTTAAAAAAAAATGTTTCTTTTCTTTCAGCTCCTTGGATGGTTGGCTGAAAAACTCCCATCCCACAAACAGCTGCCTGTAGAGATAAGAGCAATAATTCCCAATATACTGACATGCTTGGAGGACAGGAATGCAGATGTGCGCAAACGTGCTGGAGATGTGCTTGTGCCAATGATGATCCACACAGGATATGATCCTTTCCTGAAAGCTCTGGGAAAGTGCAAGGTAAGTGTTTGATGTTTTATGAAGCTGCGCTTATTCGTACCCGGTTACCAGAAGTGAGAGATTGGGATTAAAAAAACTATTTAAAATATTATTGTTGGGTTTGTAAGACTAATGAGGTATCAAATGAAAGATACTTGAATGGATTATATGTTTGTACCCTTACTTCTTTAGCTTAACTAAAATAAACTACCACAAATGACATCCGAATAGCATTTTGTCAAAATGGCCCTGGACACGCACCCGGGTCCCATTAGACAATAATATTTTAAATAGTTTTTTAATCCCAACCTCTCACTGGTATGAATAGCCAGTTCGTTTTATGAATGCTTAAAAAGTCACTCACATGATAGAAATACTTAAACTGAAAACAGCTGAACTCCACAGAGGCGATTTCTATAATTCCTGTATAAATCATTAATGAGGGTATGTCAAACTAAATAAGGGCAAGGAATCTAGAATCAGTCATCAGCAGTAGAAAATAGGAACAGTTAAAGGAACGCTATATCATTTAATTGGACTTAGATTCTAAAATGACAGGGGAAGGTAAGAGAATTAAATCTTTTTGGCTAATTATTGTTAGGTGGAATTTTTGTGACTTTTATTTGTTTCATTCAGCCTGCCACCAAAGACCAGATTCAACCTTTACTAGAGAAAGCCAAGCTGGAGATCCCAGCCAAACCTGCTAAGACGGCCCCCAAGAAGGCAGCCCCAGCTGCTGCACCCCAGAAGGCTACCATCAAGCCTGCCCCATCCACTTCCAGCATATCAGCCAAATCAGATGATGCTGATATGGATGATGAGCCAGCAGACAGGCCTGTCAAAGTAGAGAGTAAAGCCAAAGTTGTCAAAGGAAAGGGAAAGGTAAGACTGTGACGTGACAATATGTCACTTAGTCACTAGCATTAGTTAGTGTCACATGAGAGTAAAGTGTAATTAAAAAAAAACATTTCTATGTTTGCATAATGTATGTTTGTTTTTTGTAATAATATACTTAACCTTGGGTGGCCTTCCTTTCTTGCTGTGTCTGTCCAAATTAACTCTAGAACATCTAACACAGAAATGGTCTTTACCTTGTCCTACTATTTTCTTTAGCCAAATAGTTTTCTATGAAGAAATTTTATTTGTTTTTTTTATCCCCCCCCCCCCCCCAACTTTCCAGAGTTATGCCCCCAACTTTTCCTCTATTAGTTATGTGTCTGTTGGTCAGTCTATATCTAAATGTGTCAAAGATGCAACTTCTGTAATTTACAATAGTCACAGTGTATGCAATAAAACACAAACAACTGCCAAACACTTAGTGTTAGCATTTGATGCCCACATGTTTTGATAAGTTTTTTCTGCTACTTTCAGCCTGCAGTGGTTGCCAGCAGTAAGAAAAAGGAAGAGGAAGACTGTGGGCCTCTGATGAACATGACAGTTTCCAAAGATCAGAGAGTAAAGGAGGAAAAGGCCATGAAGGTATGTGGGTCAACAGTTTAACCAAAATGATTACCCTGATGTTTAAAAAAGGCCATGAAGGTATGTGGGTCAACAGCTTAACCAAAATGATTACCCTGATGTTTAAGTGCAGTGTTGTCATTTCAGATGTTCAGCCAATAAGTTGTATGCCATATTTCAACAACAATTTGAATTGAATTTCACAACTTTTTTTCCATGTCAGGTTCTAAAATGGAATTTCATTGAGTTACGTGGAGAGTTTGTGGAACAGCTTAGAGGTCAAATGGAGAAGAATTTCAACCGTGCCATCATGGTGGACTTGTTCCATGCAGATTTTAAAAACCATATAAAGGCTATTGAACAGCTGATCAAGGTTTGTTGATAGCAATGAGAGGAGCATCCATGTGGATTTACATGTTGTCTTTCATTAAATTTAGGCCATCACACGGAATGTGTTTGTAATTTCAAGTGTTCAACTATGACTGTTTATTTCTTCTTTAGTTTTAATAACTCCCAAAAAATAAGCTCAGTCAATTGAGGCATAGTCATATTTTCTGCAAGAAACAGCTAAGATTATTTTGTACAAATAATTTCAGTGCTGTCAAATCCTCTTTTATAAAATAGGGTCTTATTCTATTTGAAGAATTTTTATCTGTGTTGATAGTAGCTTAAACATCCTTTATTATTACACAGTTCTTACTGTTTGGATTAGATACAAATTGGCAGTAAATTGTTAAGGGAGATGGTAGTGTCTGTTCACATTAAAAAAAACTTAACATAATTCTAACACATTTTAAAAACATTTTTATATAATATTAGTTTTAAATTTATTCTTGACTTTTAATGTCTTCATCAAGTACAATTGATTTTTTATTTCATTTTTAATAGTGTATTGAGACACAGGAGCGAGAAACCCTCAACAACCTTGACCTTTTGCTGAAATGGCTGACCATCCGATTCTTTGACACCAATCCCAGCATGCTGAATAAAGCCTTGGATTACATCCAGCAGTTGTTTGCCATGTTGGCCTCACAGGATTATCATCTGAGTGATTTGGAGGCTGGATCATTCATACCATATCTCATACTAAAGGTTTGGACTAAAGACATTGAACTTTTAACAGATGCTGACTCACAGACCCAACTATTATGGCAAATGTCTTTGGTCACTAAATCATAGTATTTTTTTAGGAATATACAACATCTACAGAACTTTAGTGGATGATAAGTTATATTTTTATAAGTTAACATTTTTAAAACTTCTTTAATTTGTGTGTTTTCTTTCAATTAACTTTATAATATGCAATAAATATTATTTTATTTATAAATATGCATATTCATAATTTTAACAAGTGGAGAGAGAAAATCTAGCACTCAAGAGAATTACTTGAGAAATTTGTTAAAAACACGGAGTAAGCATATAACATAATCACTGCACAAAAATGAGTGCTCATATTGGAGAAATTTAAAGCATTATTTAAAAAATAAAATAATTTAGTGAAAGTTGCACATTGTTTATTTTATGCTTTGTCCCATTACCACATTGTCATGCACAGCACACATGTCTTGTTCCTTCCCTTAGAGTGGTGACCCCAAGGACAATGTCAGGCGGGATGTGCGCAACATTTTGAAACAGATGTGCAGGATTTACCCATCTGTTAAAATGTTCAGCTTTATCATTGATGGCCTCAAGTGCAAGGTTGCTAAGCAGAGAACAGGTACACCATGAAAAACTTTGACTGGTCGGGTGGTCTGTTGGACAGGGGAGTCAACATTTGTTTGGAAGTGATGGGGTGGAGGATGCAAGGAAGAAGAAGAGGGAAAAAAAAGTCCACTTTTAACTTTATAAAAACTGGGGATGCACAAAATAATGGTGCAGGTTGCAGTGGTTTTTTTTGGTGGTTTTTTTGTGTGTGTGTGAACCCAAGGGAATATATGGATGATACACTTTGTCACCAGTGGAGTCACAGTATTTGCAGGAATTCTCTTTGAGTCAGTGTCATACTGCGTATGTGACCCCTCTCAAGATTTCGCTAATAGAATTGACTCTCTTAACCTTTACCATGGCTTTGTAGCCACAAGGCAGTGGATATTGCCTTGACTGCACAGCCATACAGTCATCCATTCTTTGCAGTGGTTAATTATCTATAACTCTTACTTGACACCAGTTATTTGATGAGACGTAGGACATACAGCTTATACTACCCGTACTGTGTTTATATGAGACCCCACATTTTTAAAATGAAATGTCCCTAAATTTTAATAGTTATAACTAACCATATTGTCACTGAGATTGAAAGGCTATACTATATTCACTAAAATTAAAACCTATACTACTGTCCCTGAGATTAAAAGACTATACTGTTGTCACTGAGATTAAAAGACTATACACTGGTGATTTCAGAGTTGCTGGAGGAGCTGGGCTGCCTGATAGAGAATTATGGCATCAACGTCTGCCAGCCATCTCCTGCTCATGCTCTGAAGATCATTGCTGGTCAGATTGGAGACAGAGACAATGCTGTGAGGAATGCTGCCTTGAACACGATCGTCATTGCCTACACCATCCTCGGAGAGAGTGTTTACAAATACATTGGCAATGTAAGTTGGATGCCTTAGTTTTTAGGGAAATTCACACATTTCATGATCACCTATTGACTGGTTATTTTAAATCTATATTTGTTAGTAAAATAAATTTTTTAAATGTAGATTTAAAATAATTATATTAAAAATAATATTGAGCAATTATGTCAAGATAGAGTTCAATGTGTTAGTTAAAAATAACATTTAATTAATTTTTTAATATTTCATACAAAGGCAGATGACAATACAAGCCATTAAAAAAATAAGAAAATTAGAACATTACTTTGACATGTTTCACTTTTAAAAACTGTAACAATAAAGTTCCTGGTTGAATATTTTCAGAGGGGCGTGCTTGTTAAATAATTTATATTTTCCCTTCATCTTGTTAAGCTCAATGACAAAGAACAAAGTCTTTTGGATGAAAGAATAAAGAGAGCCATGAAGAACAAAGATGCCAAACCAGTTAAGGAACCACTTCAACCACAACAGCCTCCGCAACAGCTTCAACGACCAAAGACGGCGCCGCCAGGAAACTTAGCCAAAGCAGCGTCTCAGTAAGTTTTGTGACTAGCTTTGATGTGACCAAAACCAACTCTTAGAGGATATGTTTAGACATTGGCTGTTGTTCATCTCCCATCAGGATGAAGTGTTAAAGAAGCTGAGTTTAAATGAGTCACTGCAATATCTTTCTTGTCAAACTCATAAACATTAATTGAAACATTAAACTCACTTTATCGTAATCATGTTAACATTGATTCATATGTCACCATATTGTAATTATTTCAAGATATACATTTTATTAGGACCAGACGTAAATAAGTAATTTCTTTAACGTCCATGGAAAAATAAAAAATGCCGGTCATGTTACAAATCAGAAACAAGTTCTAGCTTTAGCTACACAGTCCTCCTTGTTTTACAGCAATCTTCGATTTACATCTTATTTAATTAATTAATCTATTTCTAATCTTTTACTCTCTTATCTTTCCTGTTAATCTCATGCGCAAATTCTTTGATTTCATGGGTCATTTGAATAGCTGAATATGACTTCCATTTCCTCTAGACTACATATCTATACAAGCTAAGAGTGTTTGTGTCTGTCTTGAAATGTTTTGCTGTCGAAGGTTTTTTGGCTGAAATGTTTACTTTCTGTTATTGTCCTTCAGGATTTCCTCACCCTTTGTATATTTTGTATAGTTTCACACAAGCACATTTAGATGTAATATTGTTTAAGGGGCAACCTGCAGTATTATCTTAAGTTGATTGAACACAACCAGTAGTGGAGTCTTGTGATAACATACAACTGATTTTTTTTTTTGCATTCATTACTCTTCGTTCAACATTAAAGTTCCAGGCTAGCCCTACACTCATCCAATGCCTTACCATACACTGTCATGAAGCTGTTTAAGTAATTTATCCTAGGTGTGCTAAGTACATGAACTTGGTCTGGTCTCTCATGAAGTTCATTGATGTAAACATTGATTTCTAGGCCAAACATAAACAAACTGGAACCCATCAAGAGGACGTATCAATTGGACATCGAACCAGAGGACAACTGGGAGCCTGTTGTACCCAGTCTTATAGAGTTGGACCTCGAGGCTGTCATGGCACCTGTGACTAAACCAAAGTTCATGTAAGTATGTCAGAGGTCACAAGTGTAATCAACAAGGCAGGAGTAAAAAAAAAACTATTATGAATAAGAACACAGGTACTGAAACTTTTTTTTTTTTTGAGTCTAATTTATTATTATTTATTATTACAGGGATTTTATATAGCACGGTAACCCTGCCTAGAGCTGGTATCACCGCGCTTCACACAAACATATTGGCAATAATAAACATGACATTATCACATTTATTAAATTAAAAAATGGTTTTATAAAATTAACAAATACAACATCTCCTCCTTCCCCCCCCTCCCCCCCCCCCCCCTCTCCTTTTTTGAAAATTATTTTTTTTAAAAATTAAACAAAAAAATTTTCTTATACCAAATCAAGAAGCCATGGACGGCACCCAGCAGCATTGTTTATCGGTGAGAGTGGGGTAGGACTAAGTCAGAATAGTATAATTTGAATAATTTGATTCAATAGCAGCTCAAGTTTGATTTCTCTTCTGTTTATAAACACTAATAATCACAGCAAATTCAAAAATGATTTCACTGCTTATTTTGGAGCTGAACTAGGATTCTGATAAAATTATGATCCGGCCCTCCTAAAAGAATAATGAATATCTATGAAGCACTCTGCATCAAAAAGGTTTCCCACACTTGATTTAAAATGTTATTTTTTTTAGGGCTAGACCTGCTTCTCCTAGCCTGTCTTCCAAGCTTATAGGATCTGCTGATGTGTCTGCCAGCATTGGCAGTGTTGTGACTCTGATCTCCGATGTTGACGTAGGAACCAGTATTAAAGCATTGGCACAGGTTGGCCTCCCTTTTTGATCTCTATCACCTCAATGTGTCCATGACCTCACTGTGTCCATGACCTCAGTGTGTCCAATGTTCCTTTTTTTAAAATACTTTTACTTTAAAAAAAAAAAAATCATTGGTGTATCTAATTGATAAACACACTTTTCAGAGTTTTTTATCGGTCAGTTCTTATCTGTGTTTTTATCTATGTTGTTATTCGGGGATGATCCTGTCATTCAGCTGATCTATCAGTTGGATGCTGTTCAGTCGTGACAGTTACAGGGATTTATCACGTCAATTATTGTAATCTTTCAGATTGACGAGGTACTCAAAGATGAAAGAAAAGCTGCGGTGATGGCCAACCACATCGACAACCTCCTGGTGGTGATCACCATGCAGTGTAAGATGGGACTAGGGAAGCATCTGTTAGACTCACAAGTAGACAACCGAGAAGTCATACGATTGTACAGGTGTCTACTCAGTACTTTACTAAGTGTGAGTAGCCAATGGCGGATACAGATCTAGCCTTATGTTTTGAATGTATGTTATTAAAGTTTAGAGTGGGGTTAGCCAATGGCTGAAGTAGGTCTAGCCTTATGTTTTGAACATAGGTTATTTAAGTTTGGATTGTGTCTTTTGACTCTTCCCATTACTTAAGATTGTAAATTGAAGTTAAATTAAAGTCAAGAATAAACAGAAAGGTTAGAGAAGTTAATGTTTAAAAGTTGTTATAAATAAGTCCATTGTTAAATTAGTGGGACTAGGAGTTTTTAGCTTACATAATGTTTACGGATGACCCATTGTGTCTTATCTTGATGGCCCATTGTTTTCTTATCTTGATGGCTCATTGTGTCTTGTCTTGATGGCCCATTGTTTCTTATCTGGATTGCCCACTGTGTCTTATCTTGCTCCATTGCTTCATCTGGTATGTTTTCTGCGTTTCAGATTTTTGACAAAACGACAATGGGCAAGAAAGCATCAACTCACATTCTGAAGGACCTCATGCACAGCCTCCTGACAGTCTTGTTGGACACACAGATTGAACAGCTGGAGGAGGGCCCACAGATTATCAGAACAGTCAATGTCACTGTGGTGAAGATTATCAACAAATCAGATCCTACACACATTACTTGGTAAGTCACGCTTACACTGTCTAAGGACTTACTTAGGTAACATTACTTGGTGAGTCAAGCACACACCGTCTAGGGACTTGGTAACATTACTTGGTAAATCACAGATTTTACCATCCAGGGAGTGGGTAACATTAACTGGTGAGTCACACATACACCTGTCTAGTGACCGGGTAACATTACCTGGTGAGTCACACATACATCATCTAGGGACTGGGTAAGATAACTGGTGAGTTATCCATACACCATCTAGGGACTTTGTAAGCTCACCTGGTAATTGTTTTCCTCATTTCTCCAGTGCCATTATTTCCTTGATGAGAGAGTGCCTGCAGAGTGAGACATGTTCCTCCAAATTCTTGGACCTAGTTATTAAGGTAAATAAAGAAATCTGTTGCATACATTGATAATTAACAAACAAACAAAAAACGAAAATTCTTTATGTTATGACAAGTTTTGCACATTAGTGAGCATCTATGCTGAGAATTAGTCCTTTTGCTGCAATTTAAAATAAATGAAGCTTAATTTGACAATTTCTATTAGTTCTTAAAAACTAAGCTGCAGCCATAATTTTTTTCCCCAGACCTGGAGCAGCCAAGCTGTTTAAAAAAAATAAAATTTAGTTATATCTATATATCTTATCAATGGATGTATTGTTTTGTTTCTAGTGCCTGTGGAAGATCCTGAACTTGGTGCCAGACAAGATCAATGAGCTAAACTGTGACAGTGTGCTGTATGAGGCTCACCTCTTCTTCCAGCAGTTCCCAACATCCAGTTGGAAGAGCAGACCCAATTTAGACATGCCCATCAGGACCATCAAAACATTACTTCATAACTTGGCCAAACTCAAAGGGCACAAGGTAAGTTGATTGTCCATTATCTCAGACAATTTTGACAGCTGTCAAAACATTTCTACAACTGCTTGGAAGTATCGGCAAATAATTTCATATTTACTGGGAAGCTGAATTTTGTGTCTCTGATGTTAGTCATACCAAAGATTAATACTTGAACTTTTTGTACCTTACTAGAGATAGTTGTGAGATTTAACATTTGAATCTTGCCAGTTTTTTTAATTAGTTCACAGTGAAAGGTACAAAAAAATTACAACTACTGATGTATTTCAAATGCTGATGATAAATATTTTAAACTTATCTATTTTGTCATTAGAAAAGGAAGAACCTTCCATTAACTTAAGAAATTTTCACAATGGAATATATTAGTTAAATTGTTACAGATACATGGTCACACGGGCCTGTTGATTTATTTCAGATACTTAGTCATACGGGCCTGATTGGTGCATCAGAAAACTCTGAGGTTGAGGCTTATCTTCACACAGTACTGTCAAAGAGTGGCGGTAAACAGGAAGATGCTAGTGGAGAAAGGGTCAAGGTTGGTAGAGCTCACTTCCGCTGGACAGTTATTGCAATCCTAATTTTCTCAGTAGGCTTTTCTTCCCCTCTACGCCATGTTTGTAAATATTTTATGGTTTTCATGAAAATGTGTTTTAAAAAAAACAAAAAAACTGTTTTATAACTGGCTGGCATTTTCAAAGTATTGCTGACTATTTTTAGGACATCTCCAGTGTTGGCAGCCTTTTCTTGCAATTATGAATACTCATTAAGTCATGTCCCCCAAACAGGATTGTAGAATTTATGAACAGACAAGAATTGTATCCACAGCCAATATTCCTAATTTTGACCTCATATAACTTCAACTCTAAACACTGCACTTGAGATCAGAACTGTTAAATTATTCCTTTTTGTCCTTTATAATTTGTAGAGTGCATCGAAGAGCAAAAAAGTTTCCAAGACACATGAATTACTTACAGAGATTTTCAAGAAAATTGGCACCAAAGAAAATACTCGTGAGGTAACTATCGTACATCATTTGAAAGCAAGCCTAACAAAAAAAAAATGTTTGTGTATTAATCTTATATTTCATTTGTGTAAGATTTTTACGTTGAATTTAATATGAGACCAATTGATTATTATTGATTTGATCCATACCTTTGATGTTAAAAGTGGATTTATATTAAATTTAGAGAAAATATGGGACAAAAGATTTTAATTTCACTTAAAATTACAGACATACCCAATTTTATTGTCATTTCATATATTCATATCACACAAATGGACTTGACCAATGTAATTGTGAAACTTCATATCATACAGGGACTGAATGATTTGTTTGACTTCAAGAAGAAGTATCCCGAAGCTGACGTGGAGCCCTTCCTGAAGAAAACCTCCCCCCATTTCCAGAAATACATCAGCACCATGCTGTGTGACATAGAAGAGGAGAGGAGAGGAAAGAAGTCAGGAGGTGAGAGAACTTGGATTGGTTGTATTTGGCAATGAGGTGAAGGGATGGTCATAGCTGGTTGTATAGACAGCCCATTGGGCATACACCAACAAATGGGGTCAGAACTGACAGTCCGAAACCAACAGTTTGTGTCAGGCCAAAATCAACACTCTTGTCAGGCCAATACCTATGCTGGTGTCAGGCCAAAAATAACAATTGTGCCAGGCCAAAACTAACTATGATGTCAGGCCAAAACCTAGGCTGGTGTCAGGCCAAAAATAACAATGGTGTCAGGCCAAAGTACTTTTTCTTGACCACTCCAGAGACTGAGGAAGCAAGAAATGAACATATGATTAACCACCCAAGTCAGGTGGTCATTATATTCATATAGTAAATACGTTTATCTTATGTGTAAGCTCTTTATGGTAGTCTTAATCTGTGTGATGATTTGAAAGTCTTTTTTAATTTAAAAAAAAGTGGGGGGTGAGGGAGGTAATGTTTCTTTTAAAAACCTCAGAGGCGCAGGATGGACCCAGAGGACTTGGACATGGGGGTGGGGGGAGACAGAGAAACATTTTTTGTAACAAAAAGCTATTATCTCTGTCTAACCCTGAACGATCTTGTAACAAGAAATCATTATCTTACTCTAACCAATACCATCTTGTCACAAGAAGCCATTATCTCTGAAGCTTTATTTTTTTTTGTGTTCCAACTCTTGTAGGAGACAACCCCAGTATAGGCGGCTACCACCAGAACTCTCATGAGGATGTGGCCAATGTGACCAGCTCATCTGACCAGGATCTACCAGATGTGGATTTTTACAGGGAAAAGTTGAGAGAGTTGAGGGCCAGGTGTGGCTTGGATATTAACAACTCTGAGGAGGTGATGAAGAATTTTATTGATTATTTAATGCAACTTTTAAGGGATTATTTACTTTTTTTTTTAGTTTAGGCTTACCCTGTAGTGTAGTGCTTTTTATAGATGAAATATTCAACCCTACTGTGGGGCATGTCCTGTGAAAAATTCAATGCCTATTTGGGGCATGTTCTATCATGTGGTGGAATTTTCTGTTGCGTGGTAATAAGCATGTTAACGTGCCGCATTTCAACAAAAATCGTCATAGACATTTATTAAATCATGTACCATCAAAGATAATCTTTGGAAATAACTGTTCCAATTACTGGTCTCATGCATCCATCCATCCTTATAAGACAATGATGTAGCCCTGTTCTTTATTTATTACTTAACTAGCTGTGAGAATAGCTTGCACAATGTAAGACCTATGTCTGCATTTATTCACATGACCTTCTGCCCTCATCTCCCCAACTTGCACAATGAAAGACCTATGTCTGCATTTATTCACATTACCTTCTGCCCTCATCTCCCCAACTTGCACAATGAAAAACATATGTCTGCATTTATTCACATGACCAACTGTCCTCCTCTGCCCAACTTGCACAATGAAAGACCTTTGTCTGATTTTATTCACATGACCTTCTGCCCTCCTCTCCCCAACTTGCACAATGAAAGACCTATGTCTGGATTTATTCACATGACCTTCTGCCCTCATCTCCCCAACTTGCACAATGAAAGACCTATGTCTGCATTTATTCAAATAACCAACCGCCCTCCTCTGCCCTCAGATTGACAGTAACAAAACTGCCGGCACAAAAGTGGTCACATCTGGCAACTCAGTTGACGAACCTGACCAGGCAGAACTGGTAGGTAGTGGGTTTAATAATTGGTCTAATTAACCCTTTACAGACCCTGTGATGACAGAGGTTAATAGCCTGCCCTCACTGATGATCATTTTGTTTTACAATAAAACACTGTGTTGTAAATTATCATGAGATGAAAAAAACAAATAACATCACTTCATCTGAAGAAATGCATTAAATGAATGCAACTTTTGGTAACAAGAACAAATGTTTTCCAATGTAAACAACTTAGTGTTGGATGTTTTTTTTTTATAGTACGGTACGTAGTTGTGACTCCAGGAAAATGTAGATGAATATGACATTCTTAAATCTGTTGGAATATAAAACTCATTAACTGATATTTAAAGCAGTGTTTTCTGTGTTAAAATTTACTTTAAAAAATAATAAAATCATCTAAAAAAATGTAATGTAATATTATACGGGAGACAATTTTTTTTATAAAATCCAAATATTGAATCTAGTGGAGATCGGGTATTAAGAGAGCATGTCTCTACATGTGTAATTATGTTATCTTCATTTCAGGAGATTCAGTGGCCAAGTAACCCACCACAAGAGGAGGAACGCAAGCAGTCGGTGGATGTGACCAGTTTGAAGGCAAGGCTGGAAAAAATCAAGAAAATGGCAAACAGCTAAATCATTTCCTGTTGGTTTTTTTTTGTCTTTGCTTATTAATCAGCTACCGATAAGACCATGTATAATAACTGTGACACCCCGCCCTTTCCAAACCCCAACCACATCCGACGTGGGGATCAAGTATCCTAGATTGCTATGTCATAAACATTGAATTTACCATAGAGGTATTCATAGATAAGTTTATCTTGGAAGTGAATCAAATTGAATTGGATGTTTACTGAACCATTTCATTTCAAGCATTAAATTGAACATTCAATAAATGTGATGGATCAAATGCTTATAACAAGTTTTCTTCTCATTTTTTTTTCTGTTTTTTGGGAGGGGGGGGGGGTTGTTTTACTCATAAAGAAAACATCGAAAATGCCTGTATAAAAAATTTGTGACTATAAAAATATTTCTGCCTGTAATTCATGGCCAAAAAGCTAAATGGTTTACCTAGTTGCCAAGCACAGCAAATTATTTAACTTGGTCCTTTGACATAAACACATGGCAGAATGACAGCTTCTGTAAATTGTTTTGTTTTCTGGCATGAATCCAGCATTAATTCTCTCTCTGGAATTTTTAAACCAAGATTCCCAGTTACATTGATAACATTATTGGTGACCGTTCAATGGAACTATGGATCTGTCATTTAAATTGATGCTTGCATTTGGAGTCTGGACAAAAATACACATTCATTGGTCTAGGAATTTTCTTTCTTTTTTTTCTTCTTTTTTTTCTTTTTTTTGCATTGAGTGATTTTTTTAAAAAAGTGTTGATAAAACAAGTAATATTGATCTGAGAATTTTAATGCAGGCCTTGTTTCAGGCATGTATTAGATCAGACCTGAGAATGGATCTATTCCCTACTCATCACATTTCTGATACCAACATCTTGAATGTGCTGCCTAAAAATGTTTTGTGCAATAGCTTTGAATTTCTCTTGTTGGACCTAAGCCAATGTCCAACAAAGAAGTCAGTTCATTTATTAGTTTCTACTTATTTAAAGATTTTTTTCTGCATGTTGTATAGGTCTTAAGGAAGTATGTTTAGCCTCGAGTAGATTCTACATTGATATGTGTTAGACTGGAGGGCAATTAACTAGCATTGATCCAGTGCATTCCCATTTTGGACCCTATGGATTGTAATCGCGCGCAGGATAAGATTGTGCCTCCCCAGGGAAGGTTCAGGGCGTACTGAAAAAAGTTTGAAAAACCGCTTTTCTAACACTTTCTCCTGTCACGTATGATGCATATAATGTTGACTGTGCCTACCATATTAATAAATATTAGCTGCTGTAGATTTCCAAAAAACTATTGAGTTTAAGCTAAACTCTGATCACAGGCTTAATGCTGTACTGTAAACACCTTAACATTTGAATGTCTTTGGTATTGCAAAAGGTATCTGTTACTGTAGCTTTGCACCAAAAACAAGTGCTAAAAAATGCTTTGCACCAAAAACCAGTGCTAAATATGCACCATGCTGTCTTCCTATTTGATGATCAAATAATCACTAAAGCTACACAAATGAGGAGCATGTGTTTTGTTATGTTTTTCTTTAATTCTTGGATATCAATTTGCTTATTTTATAAATTCATTTTGTTATAAGATATAATACAATAATTACTAAATTCTGTCCCCTTAAATGGTGTGCATTCTGGTTTGCACTTATTGTTCTATTTACAGACATCATCTTACCACTAAGTAAGGTAACCAGTGTGTCCATTTCCTCCATTTCCAAAGGGTATGTGAAGCTGTGTATAGTGTGAAGCTGCGCATTGTGAAAAGCTGTTTGTTGTGTGAAGCTGCGTATCACGATGTACATATTTTAAATGTGCTATTACATGATTTTGGTACAAGTGAATCACTCATTGGGGGTTGGGGCAACAATCAACATTTCTCACTTGAACCATTTTTGTATATTATTGTTGCTGTGTGCCTACGGTCTGTTTGTTGCAAATGTGTAGACTTAGAGATTAAAGCATTGATAATGTGAGCTGTGTTCAGTCCATTTCTAACACTGAACTTGATGGTGCCAGTATGTGCTGTTTCAGTAGTCAATATGAATGCTTTGTATTTTTTTATTTCATAAAAATTTTGAACATTTTACTTGATTTGACTCCAAAAGGGTGTGTGTGTGTGTGTGGGGGGGGGGGGGGTTGAAAAGAAAGCATTTCAGTAGGGGTGAGAGGAGGGCATGTTGGGCTTTGTGGATAGAGTATGATTTGGGATATGAAGGGAGAGCATGTTGGGCTTTGTGGATAGAGTATGATCTGGGATATGAAGATAGGGCATGTTGGGCTTGGTGGATAGAGTATGATTTGGAATATGAAGGGAGGGCATGTTGGGATTTTTGGATAGAGTATGATCTGGGATATGAAGATAAGGCATGTTGGGCTTGGTGGATAGAGTATGATTTGGGATATGAAGGGAGGGCATGTTGGGCTTGGTGGATAGAGTATGATTTGGGATATGAAGGGAGGGCATGTTGGGCTTTGTGGATTAGAGTATTATTTGGGATATGAAGGGAGGGCATGTTGGACTTTGTGGATAGAGTATGATCTAGGATATGAGGGAAGAAAGCATTGCAATAAATGACAGTTACAGTTGGCCAGGATCAAAATTTTTCTCAACTTCTTTAGGAAAAGTGGTTTTATTTATTATGAATCCTACTGATAGCATCCCATCGGGCATGATGTTCCTGACACCCCGCTCAGGCACCCACCCCCCTGACACCATCCTCAGACACCATGTTCCTGACACCATTCTCAGGCACCGCCCCCCTGACACCATCCTCAGGCACCATGTTCCTGACACCATTCTGAGGCACGGACCCCCTGACACCATCATCAGACAACACGCCCTGACACCATCCTCAGGCATCCCCCTGACACCATCCTCAGACACCATTCTCATGTGCCACCCCTCTGACACCATGTTCCTGACACCATCCTCAGGCACCATGTTCCTGACACCATTCTCAGGCACCACCACCCTGACACCATCCTCAGACACCACCCCCTGACACCATCCTCAGACACCATGTGCCTGACACCATTCTCAGACACCACCCCCTGACACCATCTCAGGCACCACCACCCTGACACCATTCTCAGGCGCCACCCCTCTGACACAAAGTTCCAGACATCATTCTCAGGCACTATCCAGTTACCATGTTCCTGACACCATTTTCAGGCACCACCCCCCTTAACACCATCCTCAGGCATCACCACCCTGACACCATCCTCAGACACCACCCCCTGACATCATTCTCAGGTACCACCACCCTGACACCATTCTCAGGCGCCACCCCTCTGACACAAAGTTCCAGACATCATTCTCAGGCACTATCCAGTTACCATGTTCCTGACACCATTCTCAGGCACCACCCCCCTTAACACCATCCTCAGGCATCACCACCCTGACACCATCCTCAGACACCACCCCCTGACATCATTCTCAGGTACCACCACCCTGACACCATTCTCAGGCGCCACCCCTCTGACACAAAGTTCCAGACATCATTCTCAGGCACTATCCAGTTACCATGTTCCTGACACCATTCTCAGGCACCACCCCCCTTAACACCATCCTCAGGCATCACCACCCTGACACCATCCTCAGACACCACCCCCTGACATCATNTGACACCATTCTCAGGCACCACCCCCTGACACCATCCTCAGGCACTATCCAGATACCATGTTCCTGACACCATTCTCAGGCACCACCCCCTTAACACCATCTTCAGTCATCACCACCCTGACACCATCCGCAGACACCACCCCCTGACATCATTCTCAGGCACCACCCCTCTTAACCCCATCCTCAGACACAATGTTCCTGACACCATCCCTATCATGTTCATATTATTTAATGTATTACTGTCTAATCCAACTCATGGTGTCCACATGCACCACCTTGCACACCCCAATGAGACTTGAAACCCATAGTCACAGTTGACAAGTTGTTAATCAGTTTGTTTGGACTGATAAATTACTCCCCCTGCTTATCAGGTAAGCGAAATGGGAAATTTGGCCTTGAGATGTCATTTACCACGTAAGTGTCCATTAATCTATTTTATTTAAATGTTTCACCGTTGAGTTGCTGTTTCAATTGAGTTTGTGAATTCGATGTCCCCACTTGAATGGGCTTTGTTCAGCCTACATGTTTTTGGAAACACTTTGTGCTCCACATGGTTCAAATAAACCATTCAGTTCAGTCTTGACCACAAAGCAGAGAAATGGGAATAATCAAATCACGTAGCCAGGTGTAGGACACTGGATTGGGAATGGGGAAATAGTTGTAACCGAACTTAAAAGAAAAAAGATTTTGTACCATAACATTTTGTACCTTTCTTGTTTGTATTTATAGTTATCACTATGATTATATGAGGTGAATGAATGATTCGAACGTTTTTATTTTTAGCACCCAAAGGTTCTTTTTAAATTGTTTTTTTTCTCTTTTAACTCTGAACTCGAGCATTTACTTTGTCCCTGCCTGTGGACGTTACCTGAGTTTGTAGCGATGTTCATCATGGCTCTACTTAAACTGGACTATTTTGTAGCACATAACTTCAACTCGACTATTTTCCGAGTAGATCTTATTATTAATACTACTTATAATTTTAGTGTTCGTGACTTGCTTGCTGGTGTATGGAACATAATATATTGGTTGAAATTTATACCAACATTAAAAGTGCATCTGTTCCTTTTGTTTTCTTAAGTTGAATTGTTTTTATTGAATATTTGTTCATGAACAAACAGTTCACTTGTCGAGTGGTATCAGATCACCTGGATCCACCGATTAACCCCCCTCCCCCCCCCCCTTTACGCACATACATTGACATGTTAATACAAAATTATTAGACCAGTGGTTCTCTAGTTTTGCGGAATCTGTTCCTTTTGTTTTCTTAAGTTGAATTGTTTTTATTGAATATTTGTTCATGAACAAACAGTTCACTTGTCGAGTGGTATCAGATCACCTGGATCCACCGATTAACCCCCCTTCCCCCCCCCCTTTACGCACATACATTGACATGTTAATACAAAATTATTAGACCAGTGGTTCTCTAGTTTTGCGGGATACATCCATTGTTCCTTCTTTTAGGGTTTGTACCATACATCAGGCCTGAACAACTCAAAAAGTAAGGCTGACCGTAATACTTTACGAAAAACTTGTGCGGGCCGAAAGAAAACAGGACGGGGGGAAGGGAAGGCTAAAAAGAAAATAATAATAAAAACTAATATTTCGATACTTCGCGGGCCGTCAAGGGGGTGCTGGCGACACGCATGCGGGCCATATGTTGTC